CATTTTGCAGAAGGAGTGGAAAAAAGAATTTTTTTTTTCCATCTCTTTTTTTCACCCTTAGTCAAAATGCAAGTTTGATTTGGTCCTTTAAAAAACTTAGGATGTTTTAAAATTGTTAGTCATTTAAATTTTTTTTTAATCATTATTTTATACTCACTTTTAGAAACTGTGTCTAAATATATTTACTATCTGGCCCTCTTACAGAAAACATTTCCTAGCACTTGCCTGACTTTATTAACACATATGCAATTATTTATTGCAGATCATTTTTTTTCAGTGTCATACATATGTTTGTAAATTTAATAGTTACCCTGGTGATTCTTCTAGTTATAACATTCTTTTGATTTCAGTATTATCTCATTTTCCTGTTCTACTTTAAATGCTCTGAAGATGAAAGTTCTTTTTTTTTAACCTTCTGATGTGGAGGAGGTCTGTCTTAGTCTGGGTTCTCTAATAGAAACGGTCAGTAGTGTATTTTGTATCCCTAAATACATAAATGATATAGATGTACACTTTCCTTATAGATAATAAAACTATATGCATTTCTACAGACATACGATTTGTTATATATAATTTGTTATAGGGAGTTGGCTCATACAGTTATAGAGGCTGGGGAATCTTGGATTTGAGTTGGCAAGGTAACTACCTGGGAGAGCTGATGGTGTGGTTCCAGTCTATGCCTGAAGGCATTCTCTCAGTTTAAAGACAGGCAGAGCTGAATTCTCTCTATGCCAGGGAGAAACCAACTGTTTTTCACTCTATTCTATGATTAGCACCTTTTGACCTCAAAAGGTGTGGGGATTTCTCCTTACTTAGGAACAAGTAATTCTGAAGCAGACACTTCACTGAAGGGTATCCTATAATCCAGTTCAGCTCTGACTCTTACAGATTTGTGGCTAAGTCCCTAAAATCATCCCTTCCACTTCAGATGTCAATTTCAAATCCCAGGATGTTTTACCTGTTCTTCTGCTGAACTGGTTAAAACTGGATTCCCCACAGCTCCCTCCTCAGGTTCAACTAACTTGAGTGGCTCACAGAATTTATGGAAACACTTAAGTATATCACTGTATTATTAGCTATATTACAATGTACACAGATGGAGAGATGCTCAGGTTATGTATGTGGGAAGTGATGTGAGGCTCCCATGCCCTTTCCTGGTCGCCAACCTCCAGGAACCTCTGTGTTCAGCTATCTGGAAATTCTGGACCCTGTCCTTGGAGGTTTCATGGAGACTTCATTACATAGGCATGATTGACAACCATGTCATATTCTGTTGGACAAAAAAGGAATGATCCAACTATAATAGACTAAGTGAGCAAATCCAGTCATCTTTTTGGGCTCTCTGTGCAGCATTCTTCTCTGTAGCTTATAGAGGGAGTGATGTGGGATGGAGGAGGTCTTATGACCAAATTGTCAGTCAACAATGGTCAGAGAGTTTCTTTATGGTCAGTTCCAAGACAGAAGTCTTCTGATTAGGGTTTCTATGACTTGCAGTGGAAAACAGAAATTCTAGTTTTTAAGGTCTGCCTTGGGGAGGCTTTTATCAGCCAGGCACTATGGATGAAAACATAACACACACTCACACACACACATACACAAATATGACATCACACTCCCTTATTCACCCATTCTTTTTTATTTGGGTGTCCTTTGGACTGAAGAGGGCAGTCTGCTTTATTTAGACTGAGATTCAGATGCTTATCATCCAGAAAAACCCTTGCAGCCATACCTAGAATAATGTTTAAATATGCAGGCAGCCTTTGGCCCAGTCAAGTTGACATATAAATTCATCATCTTAGTACCTAAATATGCTCTACATATATTGGTTTGCACTTTGACTTTTTTTTTTAATTCTCTTGAAAAGCCCCAGCCCACTTGAATATTAGAATCATGTGAATTTAGTTGGTTCTGTTAAAGTTGTTATTGACCAGCACTAAACTGAATGATACATTCCATATTTGTGGAATATAACTTGTAGCATTTTCTTCTGGTTTAATTGATTGTTGTTTTTTAGTATTAACTATATCAATGAGTATATTTGTGCACTGCGTTTTCTTGTATCATTTCTGTCTTGAGGTGAGAGGGTTGTGACACAAGCTTAATCATTTTGACAAACTGTCAAATCCCTGGAGTGTCTAGTTGAGCAGAGATTAGCAATTCTCAGAACAATTTTCAAAAGCCAAATTGATTGACATGGCATTTTGTCAACAGATCTCTTTAATAATAGAGTATGTTTGTGAGCAGCTGGGCTGAAAAAGAGGTGGATTTGTTTGTGAGCTTCCTCCCTACCCTTCACAGGACTTAGACAAATCCTTTGACCTCATCTATAGTGCTGCCATAACACCACTGTAGGAGAGGGCTGGTGGGAAGAGTACATGAAAGCAGAATGTGTGTAAATTGCACCATGGTATGTGTATGTTACTTCCTAAGTTTATATTAGCTGGCAAGACATCCCCCTCCTTGTAATTGTTGTCATGGCATAATTTGTTGGTAGAGAATGGTGTTCTTGTAATTTAGAACCACTCCTCCAGGAAAGAATGGAAGTATCATTTGACCTGCGCTTTTATCTTTGTTGTCCTTAAGTCAATGGCTTCTGAGACAATACCTTCTTATTCTCATTGAGGCCTGACTTGTACTTCAGTAACAGAACTTAGTAAATGCACCAAAATAGATAGTCTAAAGGATTTGTTTACATCACAAAACCCTCAGAGAAATCCTTCATGTCACTCTGAGGTCCTAGCTGGGACTCTCCTTAGTCTCATGCTTGCTGTTTGTCCAGCTCAGTGTTTTATTGCACGGGGCTCCGTGCCCTCCACTGTTGACTTTCGGATGATTGTGCCCCTTACATTTAGCAGCCTGCTTTATTTATCTAAAACACTGAGACTTGTTTTGGCCTGTGTTTATATTTTTTGGAGCAAATGTACTTCATAAATGTACTGTCCGAGTTTTAAAAATTTTATTTTTAATGCACTCATACTACCAATATTCTGATTTGGGTGACTCGTAATTTTTATACTTCCACTTTTTAATAAGTGTGTAAGAAAAATAATCCCTTTCACACTGTTGCCTCTGGATTAGAATTTTGAATTTTTACCAGAGACCCTTTTATTCCTTTACTGTTGTGTGTTTTCATACTTGATTGTTAATTGATTTACCAGAAGTTTCCATTAAGTATTTGCTTTTTTGCCCTTAAGATAATTACATATAAAAATTTTGTCTTCAATTGCCTTCATTAGGGTATAAATCAGGAATGATTTGGAATTAGCACATCTAAACATGCTTTTTCTTTTGATTTGCTCTCAAATATATGTCAGTATTCCTTTTTGCTGGTTTATATTTTTGCATCATTAAAGATGCAAGAAAACTAAGCAAATTAATTAAAGATGTGTTACAACTGAGACTTCATTTGATAAGATTTTAATATAGAGATTTTACTAAATATTAATTCTCCAAGAAATTTTAATGGGAGACAGTTGTATCCAGCTAGATAATTGTAATTGCTTACACTGTGATCTTAGTGATCAGTTTAGAAACAGACTTGTTGGGAAGTACAAACAGGTGGCTGGTATGTGAAGCAGTGACTAATTATACAGGTGCATTCTCAGCAGGTAACAAGCCTGAAATAGAACAGTAGGTGTTTGGTGTCCAACTGCTTATCACATTTTCAGAGAAAGAGAATTTCCTATGCCACACTCAGGTACTAGGGATGTGTTGTGAAAGCAGAGTTCAAGTTCACTGAATGCCAAAAGAGGATTTATAACCTGTTGGAGTTTTCATTTGAAAGCTAAGGACTTTTTTCTGCTTTTGTGTGATGGTTTGCAGATACTCTTTATTTCTTGTTTCCTAGTATTTTCCTAGCCTGTGGCTAAGTTTTTTAAATAGACATATAGCATTGACTTTTGCTATTTTGTGGAAGGTGTTTGGCTAACTCACAAAGGAAAATAAATCAATAATGAACAGCTCAGTTAAGTGTTGACTTTTTGCTTTGCTTCAGGGTAGATTGTGTAGAAGAAAAAGAGCCAGCCTGAGAGCCTTGGTCCTTTGGGTGCTATCTGGCCTTTCCCACAGCACCCCCTTCCCCACTTGTTCCAGTGAACAAGAAACTGGGCCCTTTCACTTTTTTTCCATCTTCTTGAGGGTGGATCATTATTTTGATTTGAAGCTCTCTTTCTGTGAATTACTATATCAGACATTGACATTGAAGCATAAGTATTGAAATATGATCTAAAGTTGAGAAATGATGTTCTCCTGATTGATCAGCACTTTATTCTGAATTCTGTCCCTTTGCAATAGGTTGAGTTGATTGGCTGTCCAGCTAAATTTGGGTGTGGCTTTCCTATCAAATTAATTAACTTTTTCATTATTCAGAAAATATCACCTGCCTTGAGTTATTTCTTTGGGGGGAAACACAAATTTTTCCTATTATCTGTTTCTGGAGTATGGTAAAATAGTATCAAAGAACATTTTCTTTGTTTGATGTATAACATTGCTTCTCAGTAATGTTAATTGCTGAAATATTTAAAATTATAGTTCTGTACTTGTGGATATATTATTTTGCAAGTTTATCTCAGACCATGAGGAGAACATTGCTATAAAGGTAAGTAGTTACTGTTAGTGCTTATTATGGTGATACTTGGATCAGTTGGATAAAGTGAGGTGGCATTCCGTGCTGACGTGAGGTGATGCCTAATGAGGCCTAAACTCTTGCCCCATTTCTACAGATAATTTGTTCCACGACTAGGTAAGCAGCTTTAACCTCTTTGGACCAGAGCTGCAAATCTGGAGGGTAAGGCACACATTTCTTCTTGAGATTTTCGGTACAATGGAAAGAGTTAGGGCCAGCGTTGTTTTTTGCATTAAATGTCAATATTGGTAGAATACGTAATACGTAAATGCCATGGCACTTTAAATTAGTTTCACAAATAGTCCAAATTAAACTCTACCTAAGGAAGAATGTTCATTCTAAAATTAATGGTGCTTGCCCTTTCTTTTGATTTTAGGAGCTTATTTAATGAAAAGTACCATCGACCGAGAAACCAAGCATGAGGGTAGCAGGTAAGATATTTAATCCAGTGAAAATAATTTTGCCTTTTGTATAACCTGTTTGTTTACTTCTGTTTCTTTATTTTGAGACAGGGTGTCATTTTGTCATCTGGACTGGCCTGAGACTTTTGATCCTCCTGTCTCAGCCTCCTGAGTAACTGGGGTTATGGGCATGCACCACCATGAATGGTAACCTAAAATAAAAGTATTTAGCTTTTTAATTTTTTTAGGTAGTCAACAATTCACAAATTGGACATTTAGTGTGTATTGTGTAAGTTTTTGTAGATAAATCTTTTGTTGAAATTATACTATTTTAAGTTAATGGTTGTAATGTTTAGTTTTTACATATTATATTTGTTTACCTTATATTACATATAAAATGCCATATAAAGAACGATTTTGGCAATGTAAGGTGACTGATTTTTGGTTTTGCTAAGTTGTAGTCTTTTGAGGAAAATGAGTTCTCAAGTTTAAAAGTTTAAATGTCTCTTAAGTGAAAAATAATATACATACTTTATGGGATTCAATAGAATATGCATTTTTGATCAGTATTTGTCCAAGCTCAGTCTGTAAAAATGAGGAACATTAATCTGTTCTTGAAGCAGCATGTTAAAAAAATTGAAAGACATCACTAGATATTCACAGTATTAAAGTTGTTATCTTTAAAATTATGAAAAGATGGATCCATACTTAACTGGATGGCCTCTTCCTACCTGAGAGTAAAAATACGTGTATTTCCCCCAAACATTGCCTCCAGCCAAAGCCCTAGAAGAAATGTACATTTTACCAAGGAATTTCTACTGTGTGCCTAACATAGGCGAGAACTCGTAATTTCTCAAAATCAGGATAATTGGTTTTTCTCTTAATTATCATCATCGCACCAGAAAATGAAGTATTTTCTTACAGAAGCCTCTCAGAAATGCCTAGGCAGGTGAATGAGCAAGTCTTCATGCTTCCTCATGAGACACAGTTGATTAAACGTCGTGGTTATTTAACATAACCAAAGGTTGTTAAAAGAAATGTTTTTGTAGAAATTTGAAAAACTGGATGAAATTATAGAACATTCTTTTTAGTAGTTGTATAATTGTTGAAGAAAAATATTTCCAGATATCAAGCAAGAGCTTATTTGTGGTTTTAAAATATGTTGCAGTGCCTTTTTCCCCCATGATCTTTGAGTATAGCAGGACTATTTATTTTTGTGTGTCTCCAGATGATATTAAAATGCATTGCTTAATTAGGCGCCGCAACTTGACATAAAGCAAGGTTCTCTTTTGAACATAATTCTAAATTCATTTTAATTGAAATTAATTTTACCATATAGTCCATTTCTCTGATTCTGATAATTAATGCCTAGGATAATTGATGAGTAATTATTCAGAGTGCTTATTTTATGTTTGGCAGCATTCCTAGCATAGGTCTTAGGGGAATTTCGTTTCATGAACAAATAGGGAAGATTAGCTATTAGTTTATAATTTTTAACCAATAATCTCTTCTAATTATAAAAAAGACTATTTGGTTGCTTTGAAATAATGGATAGCCATTATTCTTATATCTGAAATTTCTACTTTTTGGTTTGTGAGAAAGTAGGCACACTCAAAGTAGTGCAGTCCACGTCTAGAAGAAGGAGGGAATCTCATGGAACATTGAGAATTAGAGTGGTGGTGTGATAAACCCTCCGAGTCCAGGATGGTCAGGTCAACTGAAGAGGACACTTTGTGCAACAGGAGTGCCCTAACTCTACCATTATGGAGAATGCCAGTTTCTCTAATAACTTTCCTCTCCCTTAGAGCTTTTATTTTTTCCTTATTCTAGTCCAGAATAAGTGACTAGGTCATGGCTTAAGAATCATTACTAACACTGACTAGTTAATGTGACCTTAGGCAAGTGATTTGAAATTTTAACCTCATTTTCCTCATTTTTAAAATGAAAATTCTACATTGAAAAGTTGTGCAGATAGAGGTTATGTTTATAAAGCATTTAGTTCTTTAGTTGGTAAGTAGTATATGTGAGTATATCTTTTAAATATATATTTATATATGTGTATCGCTTTTTTTAGTGCAGGCTCATATTTAGCTTTATATAACATTTAGTCTAGAACCTTCAGGGTATAAACTTGATGTTTTAATATTTTTAATATTTTTGTGTTAAACAATGCAAGTTTCATATATCTGCTTTACAGGACAGAAAGGTAAAAGTTATCTCTGATTGCATGCCCATTATTGCTAGAAAAATAAGATCAAGTAAGTCTGTTATGTAGTATATGTAATCTTCAGGTTATTGGTCCCAGTCTTTAAATGCTCAAGGAAGAATATGCCACCTGTTATCATTCATCTGTTTGGTAAACAGCTGTCAAGAGTGTTACTCAGCTTGGGAGATGGGAGTGGAATTTTGCTCTTGTGCTCTAAAACCGTCAGCAGCTAGTTTTTGCTCTTAAAAGCAGGAAACAGGCTTTGGAGAAGAGGCCTGGATAATGAATCAGTAGTCAGACTTCCTTATTACCACTTCATATTATATCACTAGGGTGTTTCTTTTTTTGTTTTGTTTCATTTTTAAGGCTCTACTTTTCAGAGCAGTTTTAGGTTCACAGCAAAATTGAGGCAGGTTCAGACCCTGCCCCTCCGTGCAGAGACATTATAGAGTGTCTCTAAATAGCAGTGAGTAGGCTCAGAGCTGTCGTTCAGCATCAGCACCCTTCCCAAGCATTGCCATTCATTCCTTTCCTTCCCCTCTAAAGGTGCAGTCAATTCTCTTTAGGTTTATGAAATCAGAATGAACATTTCTTTTTTATTCCTCCTTACCCAATAAATTGAGCTTGATATTTTTTCGGAAGATTGTGTAATTGGTTTTAGGATGGAGGACTGTACAAACTGCTAAGCTTTACTAGAATGCTGGGGTCCTGGTCCCTGTGCTGCTACTAATTACCTGTAATTGTGGGCCATTAACTCATCTGTGGGCCTTTTTTCTGTAAGGATAGTGAGATGACTGGTGGTTCTGTCAACCTCCTTTGTAGCTATACAAATGAAACCTAAACCAGTAGTGGGAGAAGGGAATAGAGATTGTGTAGACACATGGGAATATTGTTGATGAATAAGCTAATGGCACATTTCTGAAACCCAAAGGTTAAGTGGAAGATTTTTCTTTGCTCTCATTTTCTGTTTCCTTTCCTATCTTGCACTTTGCCATTTTCTTTCCCAGATTGGTTAGCTATGGAGAAAAGGATAAGAGATGATTTCATATTAAGCAGTAATGTCACTAATGACTATTTGTAAGGCACTCAAACATAATTAAACATATAAAGGTTTTTTAAAAAGATGAGTCTGCCCTTATGGAGCTTACCTTAAAGCCATATAGGAAACATATGTGATAGATACCAAGTTATGTCCTCCAGGAGCCTGCCTTAAGCTAGGCTCACTGTGCTGCCAGAGGTTAAGTAGCTTCAGCAGATGTGTTGGTGATAGGACAAATAAACCCGTTACACTTCACTTGAGAGCACTTCGCTTAGAGGATGTTCTGGTTTTGATATTTTCACAAGGTCCTTTGTTCTTGTTACATCTCTGGAATGCCTCTTCCAATGAACTTGATGATGGTTTTCCATTAGCTGAGACACCCTTGTTTGTTTAACTAGTTAGTGACTGCTGGTAAGTAATTTTTTTGCATGTAAAACTAGGCAGGTGTCTCAAACAGTCTTGTGTCTGGATTGTTAGTCAATGTGAGAATTCTTTAATTAGGAAAATCCCTTATCATAAAATTATGATCCGGTAGATAAAAAGTAGAAATCTACTAATCTTAAAAAGTTTTATAAACTTAACATTTTTTCATAAAAATGTATAACAGAAGTTATGCTGGCTTATAAACTCATGCTGAATTATTTCTACCTTTTATCTAGGAGCTGCAAAGTTGGTGGTAGCTGTGGCAGTATTTTTACTGACATTTTATGTTATTTCTCAAGTATTTGAAATAAAAATGGATGCAAGTTTAGGAAATCTATTTGGTAAGTTTCTTTCTTTTTCCTTTTGTAAACCTTATTTCTAGTGTGGCTGTCTAAATTTTACCACTTTATAACATTGATTCATTGCTATTAGTCTGTCTTGAAAAGAAATTATTGTGTCAGTAAATGTCCTTCTTTAGAATATTCTGAAAATATATTATAAAGGGTCTTAGAATTAAGTCAGTATAAAGCAATGAATCTTCTATTGAACATTTTGAGCATAATTAGTGATTCTGTTTTATACATGCTGACAATTAATCGTGGCTTTTAAGTGAACATCCTAATAGATAGAATGACCCTAAGTTTAAATTATTTCTGTATTTGAGTTGGCTGCTAGTAAACTTGGACCAAATCTAGCCCTCAGTTACCAAGTGACTGGGAATCATAATAATGCATTTTAGATACTGCCATTCATCTGATGTTCCTTCTGTGGATTTTCCTTTTACCCATTTATTTACTGTTTCTGTATTATAAATGTACCAGTATAAAGTCCTTTAACTCAGGTTTTTTTTTTTTTTTTCTTTTTGTAGTACTGGGGATCAAACCCAGTCTTGTACATGCTAAACAAGTGGTTTACGACTGAGCTACATTCACTGCCACCCCCAGTCTTTAATTTAGTTTTTTTTTTTTAACAAAATCCTTAAATTGATAAAATGCAACAGTTATATTTAATGCTATTTTAGATGGTTTTATACCTTACTGAATCTCAGAGAATTTTTTAACTTTTTTTTAATTATATTGTTGTACTGGGGGTACATTGTGACATTTACAAAAGTTCTTACGCTATATCCTAGTTGAATTCACCCCCCTTATCCTTTCTCAGAATAGTTTAAACATGTCTCATTTTTCCATTTTAACACATGAGTACCTAATATTTTCACTACCTTCATCCTACTTCACCCTTTCTTTACATATCCTCCCTACTCCCTCCCACTGCTACTTACCTCCAGGCAGAACTCTTACCTTCCTATTCTCCATTGTTTGAAAAAGGGCCATTTTTGTTTGTTTAAGACATCTCTGTAGGGAGTTTTCTTGTGACATTTCTATGTATATATGTAATATATCTAATTGGTTAGTGCCCTTTATTTTCCTCCTTTCTACCTTTGTCCCCTTCTTATGATGATTTCAGGTCTAAAAATTCTATTTTCATTTTTGTATAGAAAGTACATCACCCATATTTACCTTTTTAACTTTCTTCTTTTATCCTCCCTCTCTTGTTAGAGACTCCCCTTAATGTAACCTGTTTTTCATAATATTGCTTGTGTTTGTATTGTGTCTGTCTCCCACATAAGAGAGAACACATGCAGCCTTTGAATCTCTGAGCCTGGCTTACTTCACTTAACATAATGTACTCTAATTGCATCCATTTACCTTCAAACCACATGGTTTCATTCTTCCTTATGGTTGAATATATCATGTTTTCTTAATCCATTTATCAGTTGTAGGGCAACTGGGTTGTTTCCATAGCTTGGCTATTATGAATAGTGCTGCAATAAACATTGGTTTGCAAATATCGTTACTGTATCTGGACTTGTATTTCTTCGGGCCTATCCCTAGGAGTATTATTGCTAGATCATATGGCAGTTCCATTTTTAATTTTTTGAGTGGTTTCCGTAGTGGTTGTACTAATTTACATTTCCACCAGCAGTGTATAAAGGTTCCTTTTTCTCCACATCCTCGCCAACATTTGTTGTTGTTTGTGTTCTTGATGATAGCTATTCTAACAGGAGTGAGGTGGAATCTTACTGTGTTTTTGATTTGCATTTCTTTTATGGTGAGGAATGTTGAGCATTTCAAGCAAGTCTTAACAAATATAAGAAAATTGGAATAACCCCCTCCATACTGTTTGGTTACAACAGACTAAAACTAGAACCCAGCAACAAAAGAAACAGCATGTTGCTTCATGATCAGTGGGTCATCAAAGAAACAAGGGAGGAAATCAAAAAGTTCCTGAAGTTAATGAAACTGAAAGCACAACTATCAGAACCTATGGGACACAGCAAAGTCCTAAGGGAAAATTTATGGCCATGAGTGCATAAAAAACACACTTTTACATATGAAAAGTAATTTTCCTGTTTTGGTCAAGGTGCTAACATTCTCAGAATTCCAGGCTAGCTGAAGACTTTTGGTGTTGATGAGTGCTGGATAAAAGTGGGCCTTCATCCACAAAAAGTCCTTCATAAACTTCTTTACCTTCACGTGTCCTGTCCTCTTACACAGATTACATGGGGGTGATGGCTTTTACTTAAAAGCCTGATGATTAACAAACTGTTTTCTCAAAACTTGTATCCTAGGAAAGTTGTTTTTAATTGTGTAACAATTATATTTTACATCTGAAAACTCAGGCAGACTGATTTGACCATTGTAGAGATTCATCTCTATTTTCCTTCTGTTTTCTTTTTCCTCAGCTGCTGTCAGAGTTCCTTTAATCATACTTGATGATTGATGTTCTGAGATGCTTTTCTTAGCTCTCTTTCTTCAAATTCTCTCCCTGAATGTCCTCATTCACTTGCTGATTTTCAGTTTATACCTCAATCTCAGGTTCCATTTATAGCTGGCCTCTGTACTGCTCCACTTGGATCTTCTCCAAATGTTGTAAATTATCAGGTCTAGGTAGAACTCATCACTTCACCCCCATCTCCCTACTTGACTATAAATGTCTTGAGTGTAGAGAAGGTGTTTCTATTCACTGGCTTGTGTGAAAGAATACATAAATGCTTCTATAGTCAGATCCCTGACTAATAGACATCCTTGGATTCTTCCTTCTCCATCACTCCTGCATCTGGTCCGTTCCCAAGTCCTGTCCATGTTGTTTCCATAGTCACTCTGAATCTGTCTTTTAGTAAACTCATTCACTCTTTCTTATACCCTCCCCGCAACTGCCCTCTTTTACATGAATTGTTTCAACATCTTTGTTGATTTATGTTCTGTCTATAGTTTAGACCCCTGTAGTCAGAGGGTTGTTCTAAGTGTCCCCTGTTCTGGTATTCTACTCCTGGCAGAACTGGAAGTTTTTGTGTATGTGATTATAAGACCTCAAACATTCATGTTTTTAAAGTAGTAAAATATGAGTTTGGGTGCTCCATGAGAGATGGCTTTAAAAGTTAGCTATACCAATTATTAATTTTGATATAGAATAAATCAAATCAGTAAACCTCTGTCTTCAGTTTTCTTATCTCTGAAATACACATGATGACAAAATCAAAAGCATATACAGAAGCACTTATTTGGCAGAGTGCCCAGCATATTTGAGTGAGGTGTTATTTTAACTCCATTCAGATACCACTGTCTTCCCCGTATCTCCTCCTATAAGCCAGGTAGACTAGCATTCCTGATATTAACATCATTCCTTTCTAAAATCGTGATGCCTGGGTCTAATGATACGTGCTTGTTCAGGACAAAATGAATGAGGATTTCTAGTTCCCATGCTGCCAGGCTGTAGCGTTTTCTCATTTGCAAAAGAAAACAGTCCCAGGAATGGGGGGAGAAGGGTAAAGAAGAATGATGGAGGGGGTGAATTCAACAATGATATATTTGTAAGACCTTTTGTAAATACCACAGTGTACCCCCAGCACAACAATTTAAAAAAAAAGTGTTTTGATGTGAAAATACTGGCAATCATTAACTTCTTAATGTTGACGCAGTCTTCCATTCCCAGATGAACTTCTGTTTATATTTGATTATACATGTATTTCTAGGATAACTTTTGGATATTTTGCTGAGGATCCTGTCCTCTCTACTGTGAGGTGTACTGGTCTCTAGTTTGATTTCCTTCTAATGCTTTGTTTGTTTTTGACATCTGGTATTTTTGTCCAAATGAATTCTTATAAACCTGAGTAGAAAGAGTTAGGAAATGCTCTTGTCATTTCTATGTTCTGGAATGTTTTATGTAGAGCTGATATTAAATCTTTTTTAGATAATTGCTGTAATTCATCAAAAAAGGGAACATTGGACCAGATTGTCATAATTGTCTTTATAATCAATGACACAATTAAGAAATTTGCAAATGCCCCAGTAATCCCAGCACCTAAATTTATAAACTTCCTCTTTTTATTTCCTTTCCTTTTGTCTTGTTGTTACCCATGAATAGTTTTAGTATTTAAGGTTGTGGTGTGGATAAAGCTTGTTTTCTGCTTTTTTTAATGAATTGAACTTTTTCCAGTTTATTTATTACATTGTTTGTATGACTTTAATGGTGCAGAATACTCCACTGAGCATTCTATAGAGTAAATGAGGCTTTACTTAGTTGGTCATTTTCCTCTTTTTAGACATTTGAATACAATCTTTCAGATTTGATTTTCTGTTAACCAGTTTGAATATTGAATTTACAGGAAATTCACAATTATCAAAAATAGTACAGAAGTGACTATTTATAGTGACACAGCTGGCTAACATTTATCACACTGCATACTTATTAGCCACATCAGGAAATGAGTCCTTAGTACTTGACGATCTGAGTTACAATTTCCTAGGCTGAGTTGGTGCTTTTAGAAAGGTCTAAGTATAATTCTGATAGATGGCCAGATTGAGTAGTGCAGTTGTTATGATTTGACCTTTGGCTTCCTTGAACTAGTGAATTATAAAACTCTTAGTAGCAACCTTAATTAGTTTTATTATACCCAGTACGTTTTTATGTTGGAGAAGTTAAGGCTGTGACCAGCAACCATCCCCTTCCTTGCCACCTCCTAAACTTCTTACCTCACCACCAAGAGAGGTTTCTGTATATTCTCTGGACTGTATATGCATGGTATCCAATGCTCTACAAAGCACCTTTAAACACCATAATATTTGCCAAATATATATTTCTTTGTCGTTTAAAGGTAAGTATATAGAGTAACTTTCTGATTAGAATTTAAATTTTTAGTAACCAAAAAATAAAAACAAATTTAAGGTAAAAAATAAAGTTCTATCAGTAATAAAACACTACTCTCCATGATCCTCTACATAGTTGTTTATAATGAAGTATGCAGTATAAACTTACTGAGTATGAAGTGATATTCATAGTTACTGTATATTGAGAAGTCATTAAAACACAAAGACCTGTTAGAATCTCTAAGTATTTTTAAAAGGTGGATATTTGCCAACATGCTTAATCTTTCTAACAAAAGCAACTTCTTTTTTTTCCTTAGCAAGATCAGCACTGGACACAGCTACACGTTGTAAGTATTTTATCGCAATATTTTGTAAATGGTGTATTCTGTCTTTAGGCATATGAGGCCTTATATTCAAGTAATGTTGGAAGTTCATTGTGAGCAAAACTGATTTAGAAATTATTTATTAGTTATATGGACTCTATTTTATTAGACAGCCCAGTATTCTTATTACCTATTCATACTGGATATTTTGCTCCTGTTGTGCTCTTCAGCTCCAGTACTGTAAGTGCAGCTAGTGATGGAGGAATAAAAGAATTTATGGGGAGCCCTGGACATGAGCAGATAGTGGGGCATTCTGTTTTTTAGTGACCCTGGAATTAACCAGTGTTTGTGCAGCTGTGGGGTAGAAATGCAAAACTTGGGCATCTGGAATTTAAACTCAAGAATAATTTAGATAAGACATATCTATACTCATCAGTGTCATATGACTTGATCCATTAATGTCAATTGTTAGCTCCTTCTCTAGGAGGTTCTGAGTTTGTTCTTGAGTCTTGTTATGGTTATTGTTGTTTGAGGTTCTTTGAAATTGTCAAGGAAAAACATTTCTAGCATATTTTTAAAACATGCTTATCTTGATGTTTTACATATTGCCCTTTGTGGTTTGAGATGCAAATTGATTATAGAATCTATTAACTTTTCTAAAAACAAAATCATGTGTTCTCCCTACAGCTACAAAGCCTCCTAGATATAAATGTGGGATCTCAAAAGCTTGTCCTGAGAAGCACTTTGCTTTTAAAATGGCAAGTGGAGCAGCCAATGTTGTGGGACCCAAAATCTGCCTGGAAGACAATGTGTAAGTATTGGGTGATTTGGAACTCTAAGCTGAACTATTACATTGTAGCTAGTGGAACCTGAGTTGAATGGATCTTCTGAAGACGTACTGGACAGGTCTTGTCTAAAGGAGAGTCATTTCAGTTATTATTATATTACTTTTCCCATGCACATAAGGGGTCTTAAGTGACTAAGAACACAGAATTAATGTAGTGTCATGTCAAGATGAGCCAATTCGAGTGAATTTTGCAGATCTGCACTGCCATCAGATCCATATGGGTATTTTACTTTTGATTCATAAATACTAGAGAGAGAAAGAGTTAAGACATTTAAATTCATTAAAATGAAAAGTTCAATTCTTCAGTCATGGTTGGCACATTATAAGTACTGTCTGGCCACGTGTGGCTACTTGTGCTATCAAATTGAGCAGCCCAGACAAAGAGCATTTCTATCAGGGCAGACTCCTGTTGATAGCATTGCCTTGGATAGTGAGTGCTTTGCCTTGCACATCACCTTTCAGCTCTAATATTTGGGAGGTTTTTTTGAGGAGGGGGAGGACAGGGGTTGAACTCTGGGCCTCGTGCTTGGCTAGGCAGGTACTCTACCATTTGAGTCATTCCACCCACCCTCAGCTTTCATATTTGAGTGTTGTTTGCTGAAGTGTGAAATGGTCCAGTGATAATGGCAGGTCCATTGCTTCACAGACTGTTTACTGGGTGGTTCCTATTGTTGAGTGAGATATTCTACAAAGCGTGGTCTGTAGGTTTTTCAGTATCCTACCTCATTGTTAACTGTCACTGAAATTGCAAGCCCTACTTTTAGTTGTTTGTTTTTACTCTGATTGCCTGGAAAAGTAGACACATGAGCTTCCTGTAAACTTCATGTAAAAAGATATAGTACCTAATTATGTAGAATAAAGAGAAAGGTGGTGTTGCGGTTACAGAGACGAGGCAGTTTCTTCCAGCTCTTTGTGTGTCTCTTTATGATAGCAGCTCTTCAACTTTTATCCTAGTGCCTTTGCAGTGAGTTAGGTACCGGAAGGTTTTTTTAGCCTCATGGACTAACACACTTCTTACAAAATTGATGCTTATTAAGGTCTCTCCTCATTTCCTTTCTTTTCCTTCATGCTAATGGTAATCTATTAACATTGCTAATGCTAATCCATTGTTTCTGATTTCTCATTGTACTAGTTCTGTTTCACTGATATGTAATAAAACACTTGGTGTTTAGAAGTTTGTAGAGTTTTAGAAACATTCCCCTTTATTTTCACCTTGTTTTACTAAAAAGATCCCAGGTTTGCTGCTAAATAATAGGATGATAGTTCCTTTGGACTCCTTGTCCACAGATAATCTTCCAACATCTCTGCCCCCTTTAAGCATGTACATTTAAGGCAAAGAAGAAATAAAATCTTTATTTATTTATTTATTTATACTAGCAGATATTCTATCCACAGATTCTATATGTCAGATAGGAAAAGAAAAAAAAGAAAAGTTGGACCTGGTAAATAAAACAGTACTGGGCTTGGAGCCAGAGAATTTAGTCCAGCATGGTGGGCATGTTGTGTAAAATTTGTATCACATTTTAGTTTATTTAACTAAAATAAAATTGAGGCTGACCACTGATCTAGCCACATTTCAAGAATCATTCTGCCTTTCTCATGACAGATTAAATAATTCATGTGATGTTATAGCTAGGTCCCATATCATGAAGATAGTCGCTATATAAGACCTGAAGGCCAGGCATCCCTAGTGAGGATACTGCAGGGACCAATTTAAGTCATAATCCAGTGCTTTTTCTAGTGTATTTTATTTCCATATTGAAAGCTCTTTTTACAAAATGTTTAGCCACGTGACAGTGGCTCATATCTGTAATCCTAGTGACTCAGGAGGCAGAGGTCAGGAGGGTTGCAGTTTGAGGCCAGCCCAGGCAAATAGTTCATGAGACCCTATCTTGAAAACACCATCATGAAAAAAAGGGCTGGTGGAGTGGCTCAGGGTGTAGGCCCTGAGTTCAAGTCCCAGTACCACAAAAAAAAAAATTCAAAGAGTCTAAATTTTCTAAGTGCCATTCGTTTACCAATTCAACAAGTGTTTATTGAACATAGTCCCTCTGTCATGGAAGTTGCAGTCCAGTAGGGGAGCCAGATAGTTAAAGAGTAGATGCAAATAAGTACTGTAAATTGTGACACCAGCTGTGCAGGCAGCAGGATGTGATGCATACTGGTGGGAGAATGTGAGATGCGGGGTCTGACATTGGTTGGGCCAGAGAATAGACTCTAAGACAGTGCTGCGTAGTCTGAGAACCAGACGGTAAGAAGGAAAATAGGTGATGAGGGGAAGAGCATCCTGGACTAAGGAGCAGTGCTCAGAGTGCTAAGATGGGAGAGCTCCAGAGAGAAGTGAGTAGGGCTGGGCCATGTTGGAACTTGTGGGTATTGCAGGTAAGTAAGGGGTTGAAGTTTCTTTTTGTCTCATGAGCATGCATGTGGAGAAGTTGTTGAAGCCTTTTAGACCCTGGCATGTTATGATTTTACTTATGTTGAAAATAATTATCTGGTTGCTATGTAAATTGATTCAAAATGTAGAATAGAGAGAACAGTGGGAAGCCTACCACTGCTAATTGCTGGCAGCTCTGATACCGCCTCGCTGTTAGCAACAGATGTTTTTTCTGTGTACCTTCTAAAATATATAAATAAATGATGAAAATACATGAGTAGAAATTGAAATATTTTCTTGCACCTGATCTGAGCACAAGCATCTCACTCTGGAGACTAGTGCTCTACATCCATGTGTCTCAGCAGGGGGATTTTGTTCCCAAGGGGATATTTGTCCTTTGTCACAGCTGTGGAGGTGTTGCCTACAGAGACAGAAATGCTGTTAAAAATTTTCACCACACTGGTCAGTTCTTCCACACCAGTGATGAGCCTGTAATGTCATCATGGACAGTTAAGTCACAATATATTATGGAAATTAAGATGCATTTTAAACATCTCATTAGTTAGAAATATAAATGTCATGTGTCATATGCCACTGTCTTTTTCGCTTTATATTAGAGAACCCATTGAAGTTAAAACTTTTATCTAAGTCTTACTGATTTCAGTTTCTATGAAGTTGATTCTAGCATAATCTGAATGTTTGGTACAAGAATATAGTAGAGATTATTTTAGGTTTTTTTGTTTTAACAAAAAGGAACAAGAGTAATTTTGGCTGTGAAGGGACAAGAAGTAAAATCAAGGATATTATAAAATTTTAAAACCATACTAAGTTCATAGAGTAAATCAAATAACAAAAGAAAGACAAAAAAACGCAGCTGAATGTGTTTGGCTCAGGAGCTACAGTGTGGCAAACCTTGCTTTAATCATTTTAAGAAGCCATAGCTAGAATGTACAGTAGGTATTGAAACAAAGTTATATTTGAAGGTGTATAATGATTGGTCATTTCCTTTAGATTTTTTTTTTCCTGGAGGTGATGTGGCACAGGAGGCCTTCATTTATGAGATAAAGGAAAACATTTTAGTGGCTGTTAGTAGGGGTGACGAATTTTTATACATTTAACATTAGTGGTTTTCATTTGTTACAGATCTTCCCTGCTGAACTTGTTCTTTTAAAAAATGTCAAGCTGCTGCCCTCTTGTGGGAAGCCTATGCCATTGAGCTCTTTGTTACTTTCGTTGCTTTGCTTTCTGATGGATTGAAGTTTATTAAAATTTGAAAGCATATTCTGAGATGATCTGTACTGTGACATTTAATTATTAATCTAACATTAATTATAACAGTTGCTTCTTAATATTAATGATGGAACCATTTTTAAATTCCCTTTCTCCTTGGTATAGCTGAGCCAATAGTCATATCATAAAGCTTAGATCTTTTTTAAAATGTGTGCTCAAAATGAGTTCTTTGGTTTTACCAGCTTTGAGGTATAATTAAAAGCATACTATTTCCATAGCTGTTATTCTATGAATAGGCAAAAAATGAAGGAAATCGTCTGTCACTATTGAAAAACTTACCCAATTTAGTAAAGACATTGCTCCTGTCATTGGATTAGTGAGATTTTAATGTAAATTTTTATTGTTTTTGTTTTTCTTATTCTGTCTTACTCTTTAACATAAATACAAGTCTTAACCAACATTTGTGTTAGAACTGCAGTTGCTTATCAATTGCAACTGTAGTTCAGATACAGATAGGAGTTCTACAAAAATCATTCAACACATTGTGTGCGAATCAGTTACCTATGTGGACTTTATAGTAAAGTATTGTAGATTTAATTTGTGAAATTGTGTGCTACACATCTTTTAAAATTTCCATACGTACCTATGCGTGTTTATAGATGTGTCAGTATTTTGATCTGTATGTAGGTGCATACTTAATATCTCCCCTCTGCTGGTCCCAAACCACTTAGTAAACACTGAATAGCACACTACTGGGAATATTGCTGATACCTTGAATTTTTAAAATTAAAAACTTCTACCATTTTATCTTAATAATTCTGATTGAATAAACTACTGCATAAACTACCGATAGCAAGTGAGTGGTGCCCTCCACTCCACAGTGTCATCATTTTTTATGTAGTGTTCTGTGAACTTTGTGAATGTGGATTATGTCAGGCAGCCCATGTGTGGGGCTGTGGTTAGACCCAGCAATTACTGAGTTCAGTATTCCTCCTTCCGAGTGTAGAGAAGTTTACATCCATAGGACAAAAAGGGTGCTCACAGTTAGGCAAAACATTCACAAGTGCTCCACCCTTCCCATTGTCCTCAGATTATAAAGTGCTCATTTCATATCACACTGACACTGCAGAAGGTGGGAAAGAGATTCTCTGCTGTTTGACCCTTGAGACCAGTGGAGCGTGTGTGCATAATGTCCATGTGGTTTAAGGATTTTCTAAGATGGTATTTCATGGTGTGATGCAGAGCAGCAAGAAATGGTCTGGTATTTCAACTCTAATACTAAATATTTTTACTGGTCAAGTATTATTTCAGGATATTGTTCACTATTTAGATTGTTTTCTCTGACCTCATAGGGGACTTTGAATTTCCTCTACAGTGCTAAACAGTTGGCATGCATATAATGTCCCTTTTTTGCATGACTTTATTCCTGTGACATATGTTTGTGTGTAACACCTAATGCTAATAAATTTTTCTTGCCTCTTCTCCCTTTAGTTTGATGAGTGGTGTTAAGAATAATGTTGGAAGAGGGATTAATGTTGCCTTGGCAAATGGTAAGAATGTTTATTGTACTTTATGGAAATAATTGGTGGCTATTTTTGTGCTCCAAAGTAAAATGCATACTAGAATCAAGAGATCAGATTAGACTGTGCCACTTGGTGCCAGGCATGGTGGTACATGACTGTAATCCCAGATACCAGGAGGAAGAGATAGGACGATCATGGTCTGAGGCCAACCCAGGCAAAGTTAGTAGAGATCCTATCCAAAGTGGACTAAAAGCAAGAGGACTAGGGGTGTGAGTGTGTGAGTGATGTGTCAGAGCACTTACAGTTCTGAATTCAATTCCTAGTGCCACCCAAAAAAAAGTACTTTTAACATTAAAACCTCCTACTTTTCATACCACCATAGATGTAGACTTGGTGACTCAGAATTTATTGCATGACTTCTTGAAAGCATCCTCAGCTGTGTGCATTGTGTGCAGTGCTTCCCATGAGAATGTCAGGAGACCACCAATCTAACGTTAAATTGATGAACTCTTGCTGCAAATCTTGCGATACCAGCATAATATGAAGATAGGTAGGCAAGAGTGAGAGGTTGTTAAATGACAAAATAGATGATGGACAATTGAATAGGTAAAGAAAGGAGCAAAGATAAAAATGTATCATGATTTTTCAGTATTGCCAACATTCTTCTTATTAATGTAAATTAATTCTTTGAGTCCTGAGTGTGTTGAATGTTGCAAAATTAAATCTAAAAAAAAGTTCATGCCATGAAGTGAGGGCTGAGTGCATACTGATTCTCTCTATTCTGGCCCGGTACACATCCTGTATCACTGTGTAGTGTGATAGGAAACCCCCAGTCACCTTGCCTAGTTCATAGTGTAGAAAAGTAGTTTTTACTTCTCATAAGAGGTAAATTTTCATATTTGTACTTTCTTAATTTTCTCAGGTAAAAAATTTATTATCTATTTGTGTATTTAATTGGTTTTAAAGGGGAAATAAATGTAAACTTTATTTTAAAATGGCTTTAATATAGAGCATGGTCTCTGATTTAAGTAGATATGTGTTGTAAAGCAGTATATATTTTGGGTAATTCTTAAATAAAGGAAGACAGCAACACACGAAGATGCAATTTTGAATTGAAATGGTGTGCCAGTCAGTAATGAATTTCTGTGTGCCACTCTTTGTCATAAAAGATTAATGAGAAAATCCTTTGTAAAATTATCCTTCAAAAAAAATTTCAGATGTATATGATTCAGATTTTCCATTCTCAAAACATTCCCTTCTCTGCTGATGAGTTCATGTCAGTCATTGGATAAGATCATTTGTTTTCTACAGTGTGTGGTATATTTCAGTTGCATAATTGATCTGAATTCAATTTCTTTCAGGAAAAACAGGAGAAGTCTTAGAAACTAAATATTTTGACATGTGGGGAGGAGGTATGTGTGACCATCTTACTGCTCTGTTCTGTTGCTGCTCTGACTCAGTGACCTCAGTGTAATGTAGCTCATTAGTGAGAGATGGATGGTTCCACTTGTGTATTCATTTTGTGTCTCTCCCTTTCTTTTCACTAAATGTCCAGCCTTATAGTTTGTTTGTATTAGAAAAATTGTAGTGTGTAATTGAGTATAATAGTATCAAAATTGAGAGTTTAAAAAAAATCTGTATGACAACTAATTCAAAACCCTGCACTCTCTTAGGTTTCTGCTTGAAATATAGAAAAATAATTTGAAGACCACTATAGCCCATGTAAGCATTATTAATTGAATTGACTTGCGTACATATGATTTTCAGTCTCAAAAATAAACTATCCAGCTTTAGAAAAGGGATAATCCTCTTAATTCATCCTACTTCTGCCTTGTGACTGTGGCTAACTATTGAAGTAGATGAGAGAAAGCATAGAATTTTCTTTCTAATTCACTGGACTTAGAGCAACCTACAAATATTTTGGGGTCTTTCAAGGAGAAGGAAGAAGTCACCAGCATGCAGAAACAGGGAACAGACACCCTGATGAAAAACGGTGCCCCCAAAAATGGCTTTCTTCTTCACCTTTGAAGGGAGGCTAGCACTGGTTTATCTTCTGCTGTCGCTCAGTTAGTTTGTCCCTCCTCATCCCATTTACATAGTCCTTAGAAGCCAGCACCCAGTGTTAGCTTCCCAAAATGTACATAAAGTTTTCAGACAGTTCAGCTTATAACAAGATGCTGTGTGTTATCATTTCTTAAATAAGATTCGGAGAACATTCATAGCTGCCAAAACTGTATTAACCTAAAATGTTACCGTCAGTTTTAGATTCTAAAGGTATAAGCTATAAGATGAAAACTCTTTCACAGAGCCTTTGTTGACGTCTGGCACCTAACCAGAGGCTCTCCTGGACCCTTTCCTCTCGTCACAGGCAAACGAGTTACTGCTAAAAACAAATCATCGTTAAGTTATTGTAGTCTTTGCATTTAAATTTGTTAGTTGCTTTGTTACACATTTTAGGAATCGGTAATGCTACTATTATAAATATAATCAGCTACGGAAAATCTTTGGAATCTCTACTGTGGAAAAAAAATTGAGTATATTTGAAATAACCTAGTTTTGAGGGCACTAGGCTTGGGGACTCCAAAGACCTGGGCCTGTAATTCAAGAAGTGAAGTGAGTACCAGTGAACTGGCTGGTCACTTTGTAGTCAATGCAGCGCTTCGTTTGAAGTCCTCCGTAAGATGACTGTAATATTTGCCACACTCAGTTTGCCTTTTAGTGGTACCTGCATCCCTGCCCCCAGTTTATTGCAAATAGATGAAAATCCCTTAAATCTCTGTGGAGTTCTAGATTTAAAAAAAAGATCTCTTTGAGAGTTGGATAAAAGCAGGGCATCAACTTTCTAGAAAAGTTCTGATACAAGCAGTTTACACTCAAGGAAACTCCTGAGCCCCCACCCTGCCTCTAGGGCTTGCCGTGGATCTCAGAATCAGACTCCCAATAGGCAGTACTTCTCAAGAGATCTTCCTTGGCCCTGGGGGTATCAATGCAGAAGACATGGCATAAGTCAGTACTAGAAAGTTGTAAGCCCATGGTGATGGTGGGATCAGATTAAGGCACAAGCTTGACAGTTCTTACTTTTGCATAGGATTCACCTCTCTTGGGCTACTCTCCATGAGAAGTAATTGTTTCGTGGATACTTGACATTTTCTGATGTACGTTTTAGACATCTCTGTGATGGTCACTCAGTCACTTAAAAAGAAAACTCAACCTCTTTCCACAGATGTGGCACCATTTATTCAGTTTCTGAAGGCCATACCGGATGGGACGATAGTCCTAATGGGCACCTATGATGATGGAGCAACCAAGTATGTAAATGTAAAACCTTCTATGACATTTTCAGGCTATAATTTATAATTATAAAAGAAACACATTTTCATGAAAAACATTAATAGAGCACGTAATTCAGCTGCCAGATATACACCATCAGTGTTTTTAAAGTCTGTTTCCTTTTTGTCTGTTTTCTTACTTGGTTTGGCTTTAATTTACATTTTAAACACATATTAATTGTACACATTAGCAGGGCTGATTGTGATGTTTCTCACACCTTATACGTGGAGTCTTGATCTTGTTCTTCTGTCCTTCTTATACCCAGGCCCTCCTTCCCTGTCTGTTTTCCCCAGCACTCTTCTCTGCCCCTCAAAGTCCCTTTTAATTTCTTTCTGTTTCCTTCTTATTTTCTGTGTAAACATTCATCATGCATGTATTGCTGTGAAATTAAAAAATGACATTTTACTTTTTGTTTGTTTTGTTGTAGTGGTATGGGATTTGAACTCAGGGTATTGTGCTTGCTAGGTACATGTACTACCATTTGAGCTATACCCCTAGCCCATTTTTGTTTTAGTTATTTTTTGAATAGGGTCTTGCTGGCCTGAGACTGCAATCCCCTTACCTATGCAGAAGCTGGGATTATAGCCATGACTCACCAGACCCAGCTCCTTGGTTAAAATGGGGTCTTGCTAATTTTTTTGCCTGCACTGGCCTCAAACCATGATACTCCCAATCTCTGTCTCCCAGGGTGCTGGGATTAGAGATGTGAGTCACAGTGCTTGGCACACTGTACATAATTTTTTATACCTTTATATTCTGTGTAACAACCTTAAGTTATTTTCTTTAGTAACTTTTTTTCTGGCTCACCAACAATTCATATGCAATCATAATATTTAAAAGTTCTCCTATTTTTGCCAAATTTTTCATCTTATAAATAGCATTGTGATAAACATCCTTTTATATGATTTTTTTTTTCTTTTTACACCTTTAATCATGTCCTTAGGGTAAATTTCTAGAAGTAAAATTAAGGCCAAAGATACAATTGTGAGGTATATTTTTCTTGAAGTTTGATGGATGGTAGTTTTGTAAATTTTTTTCTTAAAATTGTATAATTTTGTAAAAATTTGGAAAATACAGAAAAGCATCAAGAAGAAAACAATTACAGCTCATCTCACCATGCAGGTACAACACTGATCACATTTTAGTCTCCATTCCAGATGAACCACAACAGTACACCACCTGACCTATGCCCAGCCCTCTTTTCACTTTTGATTTTCAGGGATGGCCTTATTAATTTTGCCCAAGCTGACTTTGAACTCATGATCCTCCTGCCTCTACCTCCTGAGTAACTGGGATTACAGGCATACACCACCACACCCAGCTTGCAGATTTTAATTGAAAAGGCTTTAAAACTATAAGATCCACATAGAATATGCCATGTCTATTTATTGACTTTCAATAAATGCCTTTAGTGTATATTTATATTATTACAGATTTACACTAAGACAATAGTGGCACTTTATGAATGACTTTGAAGTGAAGTAGTTTCATTGATATTGTGTGTTTTATATTGTTCTGTTACTCTATTAGATATGTGACTTGAAGTTTAGTATAATACTGGCAGATTCGACTACTTCCATGTGGCTAAATAGAGCCAAACAGAATGTAATTAGGCTTTCTTTATCAAAAACAAGTAACTCCGGCTTTGCTTTGATCGAGAGAATAGGATTTTACATGTAGAATGTCAGGTTTCAACATTTTTAAAAAGTCGCTGTCCACACCCACATCGCCTTTCTAACTAGACACCCATGACCTTTCTTATTCACCAGCTTCTTTCATTATTATACCTGATGGGCATCAGAACTGTCTCTGCTTAGTCTGATGATGATAAGTTATAGCTTGGGCAAAGGTTCCAGGGTGTGTCTTGGGCTTAGAGGGGACCACAGAGGCTGCGGGGAGGTGTGGTATGCTGCACCAAGCCTCATGAGGTCCCTGAGGCCCCTTGGTGTCGCTGTGATGGTCTCCATCTCATCTGCTGCTGGACCCTCATCTGCTGGAGGTGCTAGCACTTCTGGTTTTCCATCTGAAACCTGAAAAACAGCACATTGTGAGAAATGTTCTTTCCTGGGTGGGCTCCCTCTGAATTCTGCCCGATAGTCATTAACTTAGAATAACAAAACAGTAAGAATTTTCCCCTAGTCACTTGATACTTCAAGTATTTGAAGCTAGTTGGCATTTTTAACTTTTCCAGGCTCCTTTAACCTTTTATCATATTAGGTTTCTAGTTTGCTTTACCCTCCTGGCTGTATTTCTTGGGCATTCTTGAGTTGATTGTTGTCTCTTTCAAAACGAATGTCCCAAATTAAACACTGTTGTTCCAGATGCGGTCTGGCCAGCATGGGGTACAATGGAGATGGAGACGCTAACTTACCATGTTTTAGAGATTATATTTCTTTGAATATTCACTCAGAGTAGTATTATATTAGTTTTCTTTAAACAATCACATCACATTTTTGGCTCATGGGTTTTGGTCGAGTTAAATTCTCAGATATTTCCATTTGATCTTGGACTGTTTTTTTAAACCAATGTCAAGTCAGGTCTTTATCCCCATTCAGAACTTGTATCTTTTGTATTGATTTGTTCTGTTAAATTTAATTTTGCTGATTGGGGCCTGAGTGGTCTTGATTCTGATGTTTGTCCTAGGAAGTTTCATGATCCAGTTCTGTCCTCTCCCCAAAGCTATTACGTCTAAATATAAATCCTTATAAAAATGTTTAACCAAAGGCAGCGCACCACCCTGCAAGAGAGAGGCCTTCTTCTCCCAGGGATTCACCTATCAATTAACTGCAGAAATGAATTTCCAGACACCTGCCAGTGCCCCAATAGGGGTACCGGCCAGCTGCAATTTAATTATTTTTTCACAGTGGCTATTTTCTGAAGCTATCAGATGGTCACTTGAAATTCATGGAGGAAGCCATATGGCACCTGATCTGCGGCATAACTGAAATGGCTGAGATGTCCTTAATTTGGCCTTACTCACTCCTCCTTCCTTTATTTCAGCACTCACAGCATCACTTTGCTGTCTTTCATTCTAGACTTTGGTGGGAATTGCAATTAGTTCTATTGGAGTGTCATTTCTAAACTTTTCTTTGCCTTTTTGAGAACTGTATTATTTAACGTTTAATGTTTTAGCATCTCCACTTTTCATTTTCCAAAATAACTGACACTGCCTTGAAGATTTTATCGACAAGTCCTTTAGAACCTAAGCAGTGTGGGTCCTGACTACACCCTGTTTGTTGATCAGATGATGCTGGCCTCCTGCTTTAATCTGACGGCAGGCATCGTATCACTCCTCTTCTGAAGTAGCGGTCCCTTCATTACCACACTTTGTAGTGAAAGCCCTTGAACAGATTTATGAGTCTCATCTTGTTCTGAGTAGCACAGTCTTTGTGTTGAAGTATTAAAGCTTTGTTATAGTAATGTGACTTGCCTTGCACTTTTAAAAACTTTCCTTTTTTAAACCCATTATAGTAGCACTGTAGCAGTATTATAGTGCACCTGTAATAGCAGCACTAATTTCCCACCAATCCTCCCTTTTTTCTGCAGTAGTTGGTGCAGGGGCATTGTTTGTTTTTAAAGAATTGTATCCCCTCATAGGGATGTCTCATCTGAACTTTCTTCTTTGTAACAAGCTGTCTTTCAAGCCTGGGCTCAATAGTCATCTGTGCCTAGCATTTCTTATTCTTCCGACTCCTGAGGTAACATGGTGACTTTCCAACATTTCTGACACTTCTGCTTCCCACCTGATTCTTATCAGCACTGTTGCTCTTTCTGCCTTGGGAAGGAAGCTTTGGCTTGGCTTGGCATGTGGCTGTTGACCTACTAGATGCTCCTTCTTTCCCAGTAAAGATTGAGGCAGAGCCTAGAGACTCCATGCCCAGTGCCCATTTCCTGTTTCTATTCCAGGGTAACCTGGCAGCATTAGAATTTCTTCTAGGAAAACATGATCCCTGTCTCTTGTCTCTCTTCTGGTATATTATAGGATAATTCTTTAATAAAATAATTTATTCAACATAAATTTTTAATAGCTCAGTCAGTTATTAGTAAGTACTAAAAACAGGCAACAAAATAAAAAGCTTGTATCTCCAGACTTTTTGCTGTATATTAATATGCTGGCTATTCTGGCTTTTAAAGAAGGGGGTGTTTGTATATTTAATACATTGCTTAACATATTGCCAATGTTGCATGGTTTTAAACTTCATTTTAAAATATGAAATTGCCTGTTACTTAAATAGTAGATGACAAAAAGGAGCAATAAAGCCACCCATAAACTCCACTTAGGAAGACCAGAAAACCTTAGAAGTCACTGGAAAATCATCTTGTTATAGAATAATAGATGTCCATAGGGACATGTGTCAGGAGGACTCATGGATCTGATTTGTTACAACAAAAGATGGAAAGCAGAATCACCAAGGGGCAGAAGTTCATGGAGCAAAACATGGAGGGAACCAGGTCCAAGTTTGCAAGGTTCTTCTTCCAAATGAAGTCAAACAGGGCGTGCTTAATTTTTCCAGCAACGAATGATGGCAACATGTGGAATATTGTCTACTAGAAAAGCTTACTTAGAGTCAATGCACCTGACCCATCCCCAGATCTCAGATGCCAAACAGAAAGCAGGTGCTTGGATAATCTGCATCATTTGTGCACAGTTAAACACAAGGAGCCCTTCTCCCCACTTCTGGAAAGGGTGGGGGCCCTCCCCAAATTCAAGTGTCAGTTGCTAGCAAAGCCAATCTTGCTAGTCTTCCTGAGGATGGGAAATTCAGGTCCAGTGTGTTAAATGCTTTTTTTCATAGGACCTCAGAATGTTCTCATGGAAAAATAAGGAAACAGATTAATAGAGTCTTCAAATTGCTTCCAGATCTCTAGCTAAATTGGCTTGGTTTATTCAAATAGATCACAATTGTCACTTCTGAAATTCAGAAGTAAAGAAGTAACAATGACTGACTTCCAGTATATTTCTTGTTGATGCAGACTCATTTTGCCCTGTTGTCTTGTAAATTTAATGTTCATTTTTTCGACTATTTATGAGCAACCATAAAGGCCTGTGAGGTTGTAGTTTGTAATTTTGCTGAGGTGTAAATGTGAATTGGAGGAGACAGGCACTTAGCTGCAGAGCCCAGCCTCCTGCTGCCCTCTTCATTTCAGTACTACTTACTAATCCTTGCTCAAACAGCACAACTCTCAGTAGTGCTGATGCAGTGAAGAGTTCTCAGAAAGTAGCCGGAAAACAGAGCATTTAAATAAACTGTATGAATGGAATTTGACAGTCTTCCAGATCCATGACTTCCCTAACACTATTTAAAAATAAGAAAACAGTTTAGGCAATACTGTCAAGGAGTTTCTCTCTCCTACCAGAGGTGCTTATCAAGAGAACAAGCAAATGCAAAGGGACAGCTGATTCTCACCAGGATGGACACAGGAAACAAGTTTGTGAAGAAGTTGGGGGAGAAAGCCAGAGTATGGATCTGGGATTCCATGTGACGGCCACAGAGCCTCACAGAGGCTAAAATGTCATTGGTTCTTTTCACACATATGCTCACTCATTTGTAATGCATATTTCATGTAGGGGTGAGTCTGAAAGGCTAAATATTCCAGGGGCTATTGCTTATTTTCCCACTAATTCTTGTATACTTCTTCCAGGGAAGCAGTAGTGACTCAAGCTGTGGTTGTAAACACTCTCCACCCCATGGATGTGATTTACATACATTGTGAAAATTGAAAGATATGTCTGGTTCCTTCATGCTTTTTGAAAGCTTTTTATTTTAAAACATAAAGCACCCCATTTATCTTCAAGGAAGTAAATGAGACCATACTTAGTGTTTCTTTCACTAATGTACTAACGAAGCTAACGGGTATATCATGGGATAATCGATGAATAAATACCTTCTTCAACACCTTTCCTACTATTTGCAAATATGATACTTGCTTTGCTTCAGGTGTTAGTAGAACAAACCTGTCTAATTGACCTAGAAGATCATTCTGTGAAAAAATTTCTCTTAGTATTTTTCTTACATTCTCTTAAACTGATATGTTTCATTTTATTTTATATTTGTTAAATATTCTAGGTGAACCAATCTTAATTAAATAACATAAGGTACCCATGTTTATTGTTTTCTTTATCTTTTTAAGGCTTAATGATGAAGCACGAAGGCTTATTGCTGAATTGGGGAGTACATCTATAACCAGTCTTGGTTTTAGAGACAACTGGGTCTTCTGTGGTGGGAAGGGCATTAAGACAAAGAGCCCTTTTGAACAGGTTAGTATCTTAGACTTTCATAATTAATGGGCAAAAATAAATTGTGTGAAACTCTGTGGAAAATATTTCCATCCAAATTACTTGAAAATTAGATAAGTAGATATCAAATATGTTCTGATATTTTTCATAAGTTCTTGTAGAAAATTATGTGAAATAATCATGACACTTTTTAAATTTCAAAATTCAAAAATAAAAATTCTGCACTTTTTTTCCCTTCATAATAATGCATTTGAATGTGGGTACTTTTAAACCTTTTGGGGAACATTGTTTATTAAGGATTTTAATTACACTTTGTATATTAGAACCAGTTAAATTTGGAAATATTTTAGACCTTAGAATATAAACTTTACTTTTTGACTAACAAATGATACTTTAAAAATATCTGCAGTGTTTTGATTCCAGTTGTTTTTGAAGGTTTGTCATATATGTGCCAGGCCTCAGGGGTCATTCCTTTAATATTTTGAGCAGTAATTTATATGAGTTCCTTGTTGACATGACTGTTATGCTGTCGCAAATGAGCAGGTAACTAAGGCTTTTTAAACTGTTCACTGTTACTGTGTTCCAATAGCACATAAAGAACAACAAGGATACAAACAAATACGAAGGATGGCCTGAAGTTGTGGAGATGGAGGGGTGCATTCCCCAGAAGCAGGACTGAGGGGAGCGTGAGAGATGGAAGGAAGCGCACTTCTGTTACGGGAGAGCTCTACAGAAGAGACCACGTGTACATATTTTAATAGCATGCAGCTGTCTTGGCGTGTGCATGAGCTTATCTCTGCTGATGTCAGGATTATTTATTGCTAACGTAAAGAGCTGTCTTTGTAAATAGTCTTCATATTGAGCAAATCACATTTTCAAATACATTCCCTAAAAGTACAATGTTTAGACTGCTATGGTAATAGCATACTTTAATTCCAAAAGCATATACAATGGATAACTGAGCAGACACATACATACTGATTGCTGTGGAAATCTGTCATAGAATAACAGTGGCTTTTGGGGAGGAGGTTTGTTTATATATCTATATAAATATCTGGCCTTCTGAGGACAGTATCTTTTAAATTAAAGAGATTTGGCTTGTTGTATGTGTAATGCTGCATTAGTCTGACTTTTGTTGTACCTCTTTTCTTAGTCTTTATTTTCCCTTCCCAAGAAGCCAAGAAATAAAATGTTTGATATGAAAACTTATATCAGATTTGTGAAAGGTACAGCACATTCTTTTTTTAATGCACATAGTATGTAAGTATAGATAGCATTCAGAACCATTGCTTATTTTGTGTTAGCAATGAATATACCTTGGTTTTGTGTAAGCTCTTAGAGTGAGGCTGGAGGTTGACTCCACAGAACTGGGGAACCAGGCCAAGTTCCCTCCCCAGTCTAATTAGGTCATTCAGGACACCTAAAGTAGTACATTTACAACAATATAAGCCTATGTTTTCCATACTTAAATGTCATCAGCTTTAACCAAGTGGTTGGAAAAGAGGTATTCTTTAATGTCATAATAATTTTGTTTTGTAAACCAAGAAATTGTGTGTTTACATCATCTAACATCATAATAGAAATCGTGGCCCAAAAGTTTAAAGTCACATTTAGAAAAGTCTTAATGACTGAGCAGATGGATAACAGTTTTTAAATAATTTTGCTTTATTCAAAATGGCTTTATGCTCAATGCTATGTAAGTACATAGATTAACTTTTTCCTAACCACGCTTGTTCATTAAGTGACTCCATTTCATTTTACTTTTTAATTTTTTAGGGCATTCATTAAATCCTATTGTGTATGAAGTATATTAAACACATGTTATATATATGAAGTATCTTAAACTGGAATATAAATAGACGCTGAAGCTGCCTTTCAGTTTAAGGAAGCACTTAAATTCTCAACCTAAATTTTAGATGGCTTATATAAAAACCTAAAAGCAGTATTTGTTATTTTGCTGTAAGTTAAAAGCTATTCAGATATTTCTTAAATATTAATGAACTTTGGGGTACTGTTTCTTTCCTCAAAGTGAATATAAATCATAAGTAAATGCACCTACAATATTGAAATAATTTTTGTAAACTTTTTAGATTTTGGTGCTTACGTGCTAAATTACATTCAGCATGTATATTTTGACATTTAAAATACTTCCCTTGATTCTGTAAATTAAAAGAATTCGTATTTTACAGTGCTGGGGTTTGTACAATGAATGTTGTAGGTTTTTTTGTTTTTTTTTTTTTTTAATAACAAATACTCTTGGTTTTACATTGTGAAGTTTTTTTTATATTAACTGGCAGAGTGATATGTGATATATACACACATATATATATGTATATATGTATATATATGTGTGTATATATATATGTGTGTGTATATATATATATATATATATATATACATATACCTTCTCATTAAGGTTTTGTTAAACATTTATTGCACTGCTGAACATGCAAAAAATTAAGTCATTCCTGTGGGTAAGTGCAGTAATGTCCTCCGAATATGTCTTACCATGTATAGAATTTGCATGACTTGATGGCAGGTCATCCCTTAAATTTTAAAGACTGTAAAAAGGTGGCTTTTTACAGATGTTTAAAATGTCAGAAGAAGGGATGAGATTGGCTATGTAACTTTTGGTGTAATTTGTTTTTGTCTGAATTCTATCTTGTATAGATGTGCCAATTTAACTTTGGAAGCAATAATTTTACTACATTTTATTTTCTGATCTCTTTAAAATCAAACTTACAAGTGAAATAATGCTCATTTAGTGTTGAGAATTTTCTTTATTAAAAACGAAACTTTAACATTGACATTTAGTAGCTTAAATGGTGTATAAGAGTTTGTGGATTCATATTTTCATTTGTAATCACAGATGTTTTCCTAGAATAAGTATATTATTATATGAATGTTAAAATGGGGGAAAAGCAAGTAGAAAATAAGTGCTGTTTGAGAAATTAAAGAAAAATTGAGCCAGTTTTAGTATTCCTGACTTTAATTTGATTTAAGTGAAACTCAGTTGTTGTTTTCCGTATTGTGTTTGTTTTTAAGTGAATCAGCTAATATTTTATAATTTTATGATAGATGAAAGTGAAATTCATTCAGCCTGTATTTTATTCTATACTTCAAAGGTTTGCATAAGATATAAATAATTAGACTCCAAAATTATAATTTCATTCTATTTGGTTTATACCCACCCTCTTTAAAATGAAACACCAAGAAAAGTGCCTGTGTTTAGTGGGAAGAAATAGAACTGGGAATGCATTTAGAATACTTTTTCAAATGAACATGAAAGGGAAAAAATTGCTTGTTGATCAGGTAAAAGATTTGGCACTTAACATCTCCAATTACTTCAGCCTCTTAGGAGAAAATGCATGTAAACCAAGCCGTAGAGTAAAGGAACAGAGTCCACCTTTCCCCTTTTTTTTTTCTTGGTGATACTGGGGGGTGAATTCATGACCTTGAGCACTCTACCACTTTTGCCACACCTTTGTTTTACTTTGGTTTTCTGATAGGATCTTGTGGTTTTGCCTGGGCTGTTCCTGGACTGTGTCCACCTCTGGAATAGCCGGGATTAGTGGCATGTACCACCATACCCAGCAGGTTTCGTCTTTTCTAAAGCATTCCTAAGAAGGATTCTTTTCCTTTGTGTTGAAAAGATGACTTTACCATATTCTTGGTTGTTGATTGTCACATGCCAAAAGGTAGGTAATTCCCACTCTCATCAGAACTCCCTCTATTAGCTAGACCTTGCTCCTCTCCTTCTCACTTGCCCCTTCATGCAGTCCCCTTTCTTGAGGGTGCAGTCCAAGGCTAGCTGGAGTGCACAGCAGGCTGGCCCAGCCAGTGGGTGGCAGTGGGTTGTTGCTAGGCAAAATGAAGGAGCAGGCAGCATGGTGACAGTCCCTCCAGATCATCTAAGCAGCTTTCCCACTAACAGAACCTTCCTCCAGTCCAGTGAGGGGAGAGGCAACTATGAGGGAACAGCTATGTTGAGGAAACACTGAACACACTTGGGAGTTTCTTATGTGGGTAGTCAGAATGAAAAGGGATTAGTCAACCCTTGGGTTGGAGACAAAAGAGATGTTTCTCTTGTTTACCTCCTGAGCAGTTTATTAGCATGAGGAAGACAATCTTCCCGGTATAGCTAGTTCATGCTGCCACCACTCAACTTACTTCTGTTCTGCATAAATTGTGCTGACCTAGAGTACATTGAATATTCAAAGAACATGTTGAGGCTAAATTGGTAAAAGATGCTCTCTTTTATCAGGGAAAGTGAATTTATAAACCCTCAACCTCATAATGTATACTGGGTCCATCTTTGTTTCACTTGAAAGCTAGAGAGAACAGGGGCCTACAACTTAAAAGGAAGAATTCTGTAAGAAGAGACAGTGCAGCATGCTGGTTAAGAACACAGACTTGCTTCTCTGCTTCTGTGCTTCACTGGTTTTGATGAGAAGATCTAAAGAAAGTGAATTTTCTTACCTGTAAAACAGGGATGTAACTGGGAACCAACTGTTCAGTGAGTGGACAGTGAGATGGTGGGAAAGGATGCAGCCATTCACCTGAGGCAGCTTGCCCCCTAAGCCTCTAACTTGCTTGTCTACATTTCATTACATCCTGACACCAAATCCAACCAGAATTCAAGTTTTTGTGTCTCTCCAAGGAGTCAGCACTTCCATGATCATAGGAGGGAGGGTTCTACTTTCAGGCCTTGCTTTGCTGGGAACTTACAAGGAGCCTCCCAGGGGACCTTGGTCCCTTCTAACAACCTAAATGTGCCCTCCAACTCCTGCTGCAGGCAATGGTGAGACAGTGGTAAGGGAGAGGCAAGTGCTGGGGCCCAGTTGCACCCTTTTTTACACCAGCATTTCTCCTCCTACCCCTTAGGCTTGCTTTGGCAAAGGAGGAATCTCTTAAATGGGAATTTTGAAGCTTTTTTTTTGCTTTCTGGAATCAAAACATTGGTAAGTCTACTTGAAATGTATACATGTGATGTGTTGGGCATTCAGTGCTGTCCTGCTGACCGATGTTGCTGTCACTACTCTGGCAGTGCATGATGGGATGAACAAACTCAGTGCTGGGACCAGTGGATCCCTGCCAAGTCTTAGAGCCTTCCATATCATCAGTGGCATAAGATTGCCAATTTGCAAGTCTACCTGTTAAACAGAAATGCTGTAGTTGGTAGGTGTGTCCCTCTGAGCAAAAAAGAGCAATGCTCACTCCCAGGGTTTTAAGTTTAATAAGAGCTCAGTGTGAGTATAAATTCTCTTATTCTAAAACTTCACGTCAATTTTGCATTTTATTTTACTATTTGCAGATGGTCATACTAACATGGAAATTTTTAAATTATTTTTAATTTTGGCTCCAAAAACTGTTTGGCTTATGGATATCCCAGGTTATCAGGAGTTTGATTAGAGATGTATTGTGTGGTTGGACAAAATCAGAAATGAACTCCAAGGAGAATGTCTTGGGAGTGTGAGCTCTGGGCAGAGGAAAGATTTTAAAGCAAATAATGCTAGGGATTATTATTGCAATACATTCAGTTCATGGAGGGGAAAGTAGTCCCTGAGAGTTGGGGAAGTCCCAGGTGGGAAGTAAGAAGGTCCATTACTGGATTAAGTGTGGGGAATGAACTCTGGGCCCTAAATCTTGCCAGCCCCTTATCTTGGGAAAGTGCCCTGTCCTCATAACTTTCTATTCTGGAGGCAGAGGACTTGAGTTTTAAAATAAGGGAATGAGCTTGTCCCTATACTCCTGTAGAAACACTGAAACTTTTGACCAGAATGGGGTTTTGAAACTAAGTGGAACCGTCAATTTTATACTTTACACAAGGATTATAAAATCTCATTGTGGAAATATTCTGTAACAGGTTGCCTATGGTTCTAGAGCCCTGGGTGTGTTTGATATGCAGCACAATGATAGGTGTTGTGGCAGATAGAATTTTGTGATCGTTGAATCTACATTTAATCAACATTTTTTTAAGCATGATGTCTCAAGAAATAAGTTGGGAATTTGGAGGAGGAAAATGTCTTCAAGCTGTCGAGAATTTCTCAAAGTGAATAGTGAAATTTAACTTTCAGTTTGTAAAATTATTTTGTACCCATTGAATAGGAGACATGTTAGGACTCCTTCATTGACCTCTTCAGTTTCCCCATTTTGTTATCATTCATAAGCTTAAGAGAAGCAACAACTAGTTGTCTACCAGGGATTTGAAGACGAATGAATGACAATGGATAGGACTAACAAAAAGTAAGTACTATGTACTAGGAAAAAATAGGTCTTCGTTGATTTACATTTTGTATATTGACATCTTTGCTTGACTTAGAAAGAGTTTAAGGTATGTTATTTATTTATTACAGTTCTGGGATTGGACCAGGGCCTTGCATTTGCTAGGCAAGTCCTCTATCACCTGAGCCACACTCTCAGCCTTTTTGATTTTATTTTGAGATAGGGTCTTGCTAACTTTGCCTGAGCTGGCCTCCATCCCCCAGTTCTCCTTCCTCTGCTTTCTGAGTAGCTGGGCTTACTGGCATGTGCTGTAATGCCAAGCCACTTGAGATGAATTTAAATGTGCAGTTAAAGCTGGGCATCATGACTCACATATGGAATCCCACTTACTTGGGAGGTGGAGACAGGAGGAGAATTGAAGGTCAGTGCCCACTCAAGCAAAAAGCATGAGACCTCATCTGAAAAATAAAGCAAAAAAACTAGAGGCATGGCTCAAGCTGGTAGAGTGTGAGGACCTGGTTCAAAGTCTAGTACTGACACACACACACACCATGGGAGTTCAATATGACAGTAGTCCTTTTTCATCAAAAAGACTGATTAGGGACAAAAAATTGCTGTCCTACCATTTTGTTGGCAAAACAAGGCTGGGTAGATACGGATTATGACCATGAGTGCTGGGTTATTACTAAAATGTAGAAGGGAAGGTCCCTTGCCTCTTTGGACAGATGTAAGTCACCCTCAGGGCTCAGAGTGGCCATTTGACTGGGAACAAGCAGAACTTTATCCCCAAACTCTGCCTTCCCAGTTCTTACACTCAAGTCAGATACTTCCACTTCTGCAAATTAAGTCACATATGAAACTTTGGTTTGTGTTGACTTGGTCCAATTTATTATTGCTTTCTCTTTACAACCACAGGGGGAGAGGTTGGTTTTTCTTAGCAAGATTTTGTTTAAAAAAAAAAAGTTTTAATTCAGTACAAACCACCTCTGGTGTTTTTTCTTTGAATGTGAATATAAACCATTACAAATGGTAAGTTTCATCCCTCTATTAAAAATAACACCTTATGTAACAATTGGCTATCAGCACAACAAAAAAGGACATATTTATTTGATGTCTAACTAAATTACAATAATCTTTACTTGGAGTCATTTCTTTTGGAATGACTGATTCTTGTATAATCCAACTGTCAGCCCTGTTGGGATCTAAAATAGAAACCAGCCTGAATCACTTTGCACCTAGAGATCAAGAAGCAGCGTATTTTAATTATATTTCATGGTGAATCTCAGTTCTCGGTTCTCCCATCACTTCACTCCCTGCTTCTCAACCAAGTTTACATAACTAAACTACAAAGAAACCTGCTGTCATTTTCACTAGATCCACAAATTCCCCAGACTCTCTAAATGGTGTATTGTAAATACAGTCTACTAACAGTTTGCTACTGTGAAAAGCACAATAAGGATTATGGTGGGTACATAAGATGCTGAAGTGGGTCCACTCTGAGTGATATTGATTCAGTTACTGTGTCTAGTTTCCTCATCTATGATGAGGTCCACAATTATGGCACCTACTTCTGAGGTTGTCACGAGGAATATATATTTCTCATGAGTGAGTGTGTGTGTGTGTGTGTGTGTGTGTGCGTGTGTGTGTGTGCAGTTTACCTAGAGCAAAGCCCAGGATACGGTGAGTGCTGAGTACTATCTGTTTGCTAAGGTTGTATTCTTTTTCAAAGGAACTAAGTCCCTGACTGGTGACCACTCCATACCCTTCATGCTGTGGCATATACTGTCCTCCTCCTGCAAGAAATGTTATGGTATCACACCTAGTCTATAGTAAAACTGAGGAGAAAAAAAAAAAAGGAACAAGCAAGACATTTTAGTGAACTTTCCTTAGGAAGGGCTGGTCTTGGGGTATATTCATGGTTCCTGGAGAAAGGATTTGAATTTTCCTTCCCTCAGGTCAGCCAAGTGTATCATAATGATATAGATAATTAAATGGCTCCAATTGGTTGGCTTGATTCCACAATTTTTAAGAACCCTTAGGAGGTGATGCAGAAAGTATCAGAAACTCACCAAAGGGCCTATAAATCAAAATTTTGATGAGAATCTTTCCTGCTTCCTCATTCTAACCTAAGTCAAAATAAAGATCATGTCAGTACTGACAGTACTTCAGAAAATTAACTGTTTAGACACTATTTACTGTTAATATCACACGGTTCCAAAGCTGTATAAACATTTAAGTTAATAGCATCTGAACATATATAATAAAAATTTCCTTGCTGTTCTTGGTATAGCTATTATAATTCCTTGAAATACAGAACAAAACAACTAGTATACAGAGTAAGGAAATAGTACGGTTGTCTATATACAAAAGAATGTATCACTAATGTGTTAAGATACTGCTGTCAGAGAAATGTTTTCATTACCCTCATCCACAGGTTACAGACATGCCATTTATAATGTTTTCCTTGATTTTATTTTAAGAAGGATCATTGCATACTATAATTGTCTCTATTAGGTGGTTTCAAATCAACAAAAAAGTTGAACTCCAAATTGAAGGGAGTGCACCTCCCTTTTTTTCTCTAACATGATAAAGGGCATTTAAGCATGATAAAGGCACTTTGTGCCCATATACATAATCCACAGCACTTTGGCTGTGAGTTCTTTGGGATGTCAGATGCAGTCCCCTAAACACTGGTTTTCTTGTACAGACTCACCTCCTCCTTATTCTCAACCTATGTAATTTTACTTGGAGTAAAACCCCCTGCTAGTTTCTGGCAAGATCTGAAATTGCCATTAGCAGATCAGCATACCCATTGCCCACCTCAGACACCAAATAGTCATTATGATTGGTTCTGAGATGCAAACATTTAACCAAGGAGACTCCATCTTTGCTGGGCATCCAGGAAAAGACAAGTTTTCCTGTCTTCTGGGTGAGCAAGCATTAAAAGAACATCTGTCTTTCCTTAGAATGAGATCTCACTGTTCTTAGAATGAGTGGTAGGAGAATGTGAGGTCTGGAAGTGTGGAAGTTGTGTACCTAAGAAAAACACTGATGAAACTGCTAAGGGTACCAGGATTTGGGAGTGCAGTGCATTGTGAAGTCTCAGGTTGCAGACAATGCCAGGAGTCAGTCTTACATGATGCAGAGACCTGAATCTAAGGGATATGGTGTGAGCTTATGGATCAAGCTTTATCTGATACATTTACAATTCTTAAGTTTTCAGTTACAGGATCAATACATTTGTTTCAATGTTTAAATCAGTCTGGGTTGGGTTTTCTGTAAACTTGAAGCCTAAACGGTTCTAACTAATTCATACAAAATACCTATCCTGGATAGAAAACTTTGCACACAGAATTGTGCTCCTACAAGCACCACCACGGTGCTGTCTCCACAATGACTAGGAGTGGGAAGGTGTTGGGCTAATGCCAGACTGCTAGCCAATCTGAATTGAAAAATTCAGGAAGACTTCCACAGCAATGCCAATGATGAGAAGGGAAAGAGCCTAGAGTCACAACTTGGGAATTAGGAGGTATTCTTGCTCAGCATCTTAGAAGAGAGCCTGAGTTAGCATCAAATTTTGTTTGTTAGCTTGTTTGTTTTTGAGACAGGAAAGTTTTCTAGTTAGTAGAAGAATTGATCATTAATGAACACCATAGTCTTCCTCTTTTATAAAAGGGTGCTTATTCTCAATGAAGATAAAATAGATTTATTTTGTAAAATAGGAGTATTTTTTCAGGTTACTCTATCCAATGAGTAGCCACTCTTCAATAAGCACTATATTTGCTCATTTGCTATTTCTAAGTCTCTCAGATAGTAAATAATAACTTTGTTAAACTTTAAGGGTCATAGTTAAGTGTTCAGTCATGATTTTAATATTAGAACAGAGAAATTTTTGTGGGTGTGCCCTTTCTCACAAAAATATTGCTGTGTTGGTAAATAAAATAAAAATGAAATAGAATGAGACCTTTTGGGCAGGAAATATTTCTTTATCTTGATAATAAGAAAAAGAATATTCTTTCTTTGTACATTTTGAACTTAGAAAATCTATTTTTCTATTAATACTAAAATATTTAATGCATAAAAACATAAGCATTTACACTGAAGCACAACCTTAAATATAGTCCTGTGATTTTCACCAGGAACCTTGTAAAATATGATAAATATACATGCACAAATATTAAAACAAGGAGGACCACTTAGCATTCAAGTGGAAATGCAGCATTACATATAATAAATATCCAGGATGTCAAGTCCACAAATGATCATTACTCTGATTTAGACTTCTTTTTTCCAGTTAAGACTTTTACTATACAATTAATTATAACCTTACAAGTTAAGCCTAACTAATGTGAAAAGAATTCAATTAATCTGGCTACTGAAATAATACAATGTTCAATATTTTGCAACATATTTTAATCTCTAGCACATAAAACTGACATTTGGCCAAGAGGTACACACCTATTAACCAGTTGCTCAATTACCTTCTTTCTCAATGTTAAAAAATTCAGAGTTAATAATATGAAAGAAAGAGAGTTTCTGAGAATCTTATTGCCTGAGCTTATGGGCTTTGACAATAAATGTCTTAAGTTTTAGTACATGTCATATAACTTAAATACTGTATGTACAAAATATAAAACTTTTTAAAAGCAAAATACTATACAAAATACTGTCTTTATACATTTAAAGAGTACTTTTCTTTTCAATGTAAGAGAACCCTTTATATTTTTACCTCTACTTTCCCTCCTAACCCGAGTATCTCAGAGTTGAGTTTTTAACAGTGGAAACTGATCTATAATAAAAGTATAAATCCAAAGATGAAAGATTGCTATATACCTTAGAGATTTTTCTAGACAAATCCTTCTGGTTAAAAGGCACGTAAAATCTAATTCATACATTTTACTTTTTACATCTTGATTCTTGTTTGCTATTGAACATCTTGTAAAAAATATGTCTGAAGGATGTTATATCAGTTATGACAATTCTTTTCAATTGCTCTTCTTTTGAAGTACATGAAAGGGTAAGTAAGCACCCACCACTTAGGTTAACTTTGAACATCTCTCTATGCACAAACACTTAAAAAAAGTAAAAACACTAAGAGAATAAATGAATTTCCTGTTTATTGCTCCTTGCTTCTGTAAGCAGTGTCCTTAAAAAATGACTAATATTTACCCACCATTATTAATTTCCATAACTGTGTTTCATAGTTGAGAATTTTATATTGAGTATGGACCAGATCTCCAGCATTAGGGCTCTTTCTTCTTTCTTGCTTAGGAAACAGATTAATCTTCCTTGCATGTCAATATATACTTCCCAAACCAACCAAAGATGAATGCAAACTTTTTCAACGTCAGAATCCCAAGAAATCCACATAATCAATGTATGACTGTATGCCAACCAGATAAAATTAATCTCAGATTTGCCCAAGGCTCCGGGAATTCCATTGCAGGAGTTAGTTTCCCAGCTTGCAATTCTGTAGGATATTGCTAGAGTCTTCTCCAGGCTGGAAGGAGGTGTTACTTACAAGTGTGAACATCAGTCATGCTTTCACACCTCCTGCAGCGGACATAACAGCACCAGATGAACTTACACTCGCATCTTTCCACGTGCCTGACCACGTGGGTGTTATAGCCTCGGCCGCAGCAGAGGAGGTTACAGCCATCTGCACCTTCTGATGTGCGGTTGCATTCTCTGCCTCGTGTTCCTGGGATTCCCAGTTTTTTATCTTCCACACAGTAGTTGGGAGACTTATTCACATACAGCAGGTCATCCTTGTGGATAGGAATCTTCCTCTGATCTTTTTCTCTCCTCCGCATTTTCCTCTTTTCTTTGTCTGATATTTGGATACTGTTTTCATATTTATCCTTTAATAAATGGCCAATCTTTTCAAAAGAAGACATGGATTTCCAGCATGTTTTCACGGCACAAGAGCCAGAAACACCATGGCAGCGACAGTCTACGGACATCAGCTTGGCAACAGCCTGAAACCAACAGTGATTGTGTTCAAGTGCATTCATCAAGCGTTTTATTCCACAATGGACACCTAATCACTTAACTTCACAGTGAACCTAATCACGTAACTTTCTGGGTGTGTTCCCTCCTGTATAAAAATGATGGTTTTGATCACAAAGGACCTTTAAGATTGTGGAGGGTTCAAATGTTTGGTCCTTTAGTTTTGTTCAAATGTCTAGACCCTGCCAAGAGGGCAAAACTTTCTAAGGTGCATTTAAAGTAATAGTTGGTGAGGCTACAATACCAATATACTAGTAATACTAGTACTACTTCCTACCTATCAAAGATTATCTGAGATACCAAAGGGAAATTACTTGCATTTCTAGTATCAACTCGCTTTTGGGTGTGAGAGGATGCCCATGCATGCCTGGATTTCCTGACACCATTCAAATCCTTCCTGCTCAGAGTGTGATTTATGGACCAACAGCCCTGGCTCCACTTGTGACACTCAGGTTCTACAGAATCAGAAGCTGTATTTTTAGAAGAGCTTCAGGAGATTCTGATGCACATTAAAATTTGAAAAGGGCTCATAGAGCAGTTGCTTTCGACTCTCATATGCATAGAAATATCTGTGGAACTTCACAAGTAAGCATTGTTCACACCCTTGAGATTCTGATTCAATTGGTTGAGATGAGCTGCTCTGATAATTTTAATGATGCCCACTGATGACACTATTGATTCACATGAGAATTCTTAGGGTTGACCACTATAAAAGTCAGTTACATTTATGGGAGTGTTGGGGGTAGGGAGAAGATGCTATTCTCTGGTCATAGATCCCATGAGAAACCAAGTTAGGTTGTTCAGAAAAAGGAGCTATAGAATATGGTTGTGCCCAGCAAATTCTTTGTCTTTCCTGGAAAATTAATTCAAAACCTATGTCCTATCTTTGGTGAATCCGTACCACTATCCTCCAACATAGAAAACAGAAGAGGATAATATTTATATAAATTTTCATTTCTAAATGCTGAGTTCAGTTGATAATGTCTGTGGAACTGAATGAGATCACATATATTTGTGATAGCTCACTGCCAGGTGCAGAGTAAGGTCTTAATAGTGTTTACTTTGAAGAAAGAGTTATGGTAAGAGTTAAAATTAAAATGTCTGATAGGCCCAATGATGCAAAAACAACAGGGGGATTTCAAAAGTTTTAGGGCTCTAATCTCTTACAAACCAACATCATTTCCTTCAGTCCCCAGATGATGGCAGAACAGACTAATAAACCTTTAGGACTAACTTGACATTCTGTCAAATGCTGGGTAAATGAAAAATGGATCCATCTATTTGATGACTTGAAAATAATGAATGTACGCTCACCAAAGAAAGGAAAAACCTCTATTTAAATTATGCTTACAATTCTTATCAAAACTATAAAATGACATGTATCTATACCTTGCTATTTTGTACCAAATTCAATATTGACATGTTTGCAGAACTTTCTAACAAGTTATTGAAATTTCCCGAACTATCCAATATGGAATGTTTCAAACAGTTAATATTTATTTGTAACCTTAAATGAGAGCATGCGGTATTAATTTGTACAATGTTTGATACTTCTTAGTTGTATTTATAATAATAAACAATAATATTTAAACCCTGTCCTTTATAAAATATGGCTAAATGTTCCTACAGTGACATCAGAGCAATTTATAAAGTATGGTGCACAGGCTTATTTGATTTAATTTATGGCATTTGATATCCACAAAGCCCTCAATTCTAAGAGGTCTGTAGGCAAATAAATTGAATTTCATGCAATCTGCCTACCTTTGTTCAAATTTTAAGTGCCTAAAGGATATGAAAAAAAAAAGAGCTCAATCAGTGCTAGGTAATAAAATAAATTGTCCAAGAAAGTCCTAAACCTAAGAATGTATGTTTATGTGTTTAAACCAGATCAGCATTCCTTATAGTCATCACTTAGTGATTTAAAGCTGCCAGATTTCCTCTGGACAATGATTGAGAGCTGATTTTTTTCCTTATGTTAAACAGCTCAGCTGTCACGTAAGGTGGTGCCGATTTGCAAAGCATGCAGGGTAGAGTATATAGTCATCAAATACTGGCTGAATAATTAGTTCCACTCACTCAGGCAGTTGTAACTTATTCTCTGTTGGTCACGTGATCAGCTGATAGTAACGGAAATCACCTCAATGGCACAGGGAGACCTTGAGCCTGCTGGGCTCTCCTCCAGAGCTTAATGCAGTTCACAAAGTGACACATTGCTTCCCAGGTTTGAAGGATACAAAGAGACTTTCAAATTAATTTTATCACCTGCTGAATTTATATTCAACTTCTGGGAGATTTCCTTTACTCTAGAAAAGCAGCCCTTTTAAAATATCTGGAGTTTATAATTTTCCAGCAATGACATTTAATTTTTTTTTTTTACTTTCTTACATCTGCATTGTAAATGACCCTAACAATAGGTACAGGAAAATAGTATTTTTTAATCAAATTTGTGACACATATTATTTTTCTATCCTAGACTTTACCTATACAAATGAACTTCAAGGGAAGAATCCCAATAATTTGCCATGCAATTTGAATGAAGGATGGAACTTGACTACAGAGAAATTAAAACAAAGCAATAACATTGCCACTTAGAGAAATGCAGTTTGAGGGCATTTAAGGACACACACACACACACACACACACACACACCATACGAGAATTTAGTGTTTTTCAGAGCATATTTTTATAAAGAATTTTTTTTGATTTAGTTTTATAGGAAGAAATGCTTTGCACCTAGTGGGTAGTAAATGAACAGTTACTTAGTTACAACTCCAATTTTACATAAAAATAAACAGCATGTTTAACACACTTGTCTTACATAATTTGTTGATATATGAGGTCACTGCCTGAGGGTCAGTGGTATTGGGAACCTTGAGCCAGCAGGGCTCTCCTCCAAGTCTTCCCCCTGCACCCTGTGTTAGTCTACAAAGTGACACATTGTTTCTTAGACTCGAAGGATACAAAATAAGTCTTAATATGCAACAAGATAACTTTAGTAAAAGAGAAAAATGAAAGTGGAAAATGCAAGCATATTTAAGGAAATCACATAAACACTATAAAAAATGTGTATTCTGGATCCTTTCTGCTAGGGTTCTTAATTAATGCTAAACACTTATTCTGAGCTGCAGTGATAGCTCTGTCATTTTCTGGTAACAGGAAAAGAGAACAGCAATCCAATGAGTTGTGTGTGGTTACAAGAAATGTCCTTTCTCTACTTTAGTTGAGTTGTTAAGGTTTATAATGATATTAACAGAGGAATTTTTTGTTAACTATTATAAACAGATGTGCCCACTTTGGTGGGATATTTTTAAACTATGAGACAGCAGTTAGGAGGGCGGCATTTAATCTAATGGGCTCCTTGTATAAGTTTTCGTTTGATAAATCTCTAATGAAGTGAAGTAGGAAAGATGTACCGTTGGTATTTAATGTAAAAATAGAAACTGCTTAAGAAGTGGTTTAAAGGCTGATTGATCCCACAGTTTTGACTCAGAGGTAATACAGCAGGCAGGGATTATTTTCCAGCCTATTACTTTATCCAAACTACCAGGAATGGCCAGAAAATTGTTGTGGGACATTTCACTTTGTCAATTATCAGATGATCCATTTAAGTTATGAAAACGGTGACATGAAATTGGATGTATGTGTGTAGAATTTCCTATTTCTCTGATTTATTTTGTTCCTTTCTGTCCAAAAATATATTTGAACCTGTTGAAAAGCAAAATGAGTATGTGTTGTTCAAGTACTTATAAATATTCTTGAAACAGGTCAATGAAAATTCAGAGTCGGCCCTTCCCACTTTGTTGAGTTACTCATCATAAAACAAATTATGGGTTAGAGAAATTTAAAAGTTTATGAGGTGGACATGGGAAGAATGGAAATATTTTAAGCACACCAAAAGAAATACCCATAAATATTTCAAGTCACATTATTCCCAGAAGTTCTGCCCCTGGAAGACATCACATCATTCTGTTAGCCAATCACCATCAGGCAACATTATTCTTGGAGTTATAACTTTAGGAATGGTGTCAGAAACCAAGTGGGAATCAGAGTATTTAAGGTCAGTGGTTAGAAAATCATCTATCCTGCTCACAGCACTACTAAGCGCCAGTACCCACATTTCTCTAAACACTTTCCTACATTTTGACTTTGGGATTTTGAGACTAGAACAATCAACTCAATTGAATTCAGACTTTGAACTTTGCTCAGATGAATATGCCTCACAGATTAGAATTGTAATTGCTAATATTAAAAATTGAGTAGACTGCTCTTTCATGTTAGATAATAACCTGGAAAGCAGTTTCTTTTTCTTTCCCTGTGTATGTGTGTGTGGAGGTGTTGGCCACCAATGGAAAAAAAAATATAAAAATGTTTTGAGTTATAATACCTCATGAAAAAAGACCAACAAAAACACCAGTGTAGTGCCCTCTAAAATAACCAGGTAAATATTTTGCAATATTTTAAGACTTCATCTAGAACAATGTGGAAAAAAACAGATTCAACAAGGGAAAACTCTGAAATTGTCATGAAATATGTAATTTGTTTAAGTTGGATTATATTCTGCATAGATAGAAAATTAGTAAAAACATTTTTTCTGACAAATAGTGAATTTAAAATGATGTGCCGAGTAGATGCATGTTTTTCACAAAATCAGTATATAAATAATAGCTTAAGATGAACATTAACAGTTGCAAAAGCGGATTTGGCTACCTAATTTGAAAAAACACACAAGATGAAATAAAACTAAATGGTTGCCTAGTATTACTAACAAAAATACATTTTAGGATGTCTTAGGACTTTTCATTAGTTCAGAGACAATGTTTTTTAAGGAAATTAATCACAACATAGTCTTCTCTGAGTTTTGGTTTTCTGGTTAAATTTTTTTCCATCAGTACAAAATTATTTAGAGAATGGCTAAACTAGATTTACTTTCTATGTTGATAATACATATTCACTTAATTGCTTTTTTGTTTTTTAAATATATTGATTTGACATATCGATGTTTTTCTCTAGTTTAACTTGAGTTTTAAAAAATGTTTATTACATGTAATCTTTTTTATAGTAATATGTTAGAAAAATAAATATTCCCTTATTGGATAATATTTAAATTGAACCAATATCCCATTCCTCTTTTTAAATGTAAAACTTTAAGGAAAAGAGACATGTATGTAACTAGTGTTAAGCAAGTGTTATTTTAATGAAATAGAGTAACTTTAAGCATTTCTAAGCAGAAATATGGAAAGCTTATATAGTTATTGCTTGATTATCTTATTTTCTATTTTGCTAATTCAATATTTAAATTGAAATGGAAACTTAACTTTGGATTTGAAGAGTTATGGTTATAACATTTGCTGGTTTTCTGGTTTTGTGCTTTAAACCAGGGCAGTAAGGCAAAGAAAACTGGCTGGAAGTTGCAACTATTCTGAATGAGTCCCATTATTCTCTTGCCAAAAAAGTAAAATAAATACAACATATACTTTTAATATTCCTAAGAGATACTGTGACTTGTTTTAATTTGCTTCATGAGAATGTGGCAGAGTACAATGACTACTTTGGGACTTCTATAGGCTATTGGATATTTACAATAATATATACTATGTGCTGATATTCTTGTCCTGAGATATTTATTATGACATAGGAAATATATATTCATAAAAATTTACAGCCCTTTAGGAAAGCCACTATGAATTGCCAACTAATTCTACTATGTTGTAGAACTCAAACTATTGTATCAACATTCAGTAATGTAAATATATAAAAGTTAAATTAAGTTGCACATATACTCCCTCTTAAGAAAACATGTAAAAAAATCAGAATTCATAAAAGAAGTTAATTAAGTGTTGGCTCTTCAAGTTTACCTCTCCTTAACCTACCTTTAATATAGCGATATTTAAAAATATCCATACATTTAATATAACTTTAGCTTCTTTAGACTTATCTGTATTTTATAAATTTTTTAAATGAACCTACATAAAAATAACTATTTCCCTTAAAATTTTGCTATGCAAAAAATATTTGATAGTGCTTGTGAATTCCCTAATATTGTTACATTGTTTGCTAGAGAAAATATAAGTGCAAAACTAACAACATTTAGGAACCATCGCCCCATAAAAGTGGATTATGAAAAATATAATCAAAATTTAAGTTTGGGGAAGTAACACTTGATTCAGTTCCATTAGAACAATAGAGTCTATAAGTCCTATTTTGATATTAACCATAAGCAGCTATGGGATGGAACCAGTAACACAATAGACACTTGTACATCTATTATTTTATAGCTAATGTTAGACATGTAAATTGTTCAATTACCAACACATACTATTACAGAGTCAACTCACACCAGATGGATAGATTCATTAACTGAATTAAGCCAATGTGGTTAGCACACACTCATGAAACCAATGTGATTAGTACACACACACACAAACACATACACACATGTATTGCTGCTAGCTTTCAGCTCTCAGTTTTTAAATCATTTGGATTGATTCATCCAGAAGTATAATCCTAGTCTTGTTTACTTGGTGACATGGCATTTGATTCCATTTTCTAATACATACCTGCCTCCCAGCCTCGTTGTTGTGTAGATTCATTGCTAGCAGTATTGTGTTTTCTTTTCCCGTGGAGTTTCTGAGAGGGAAATCTAGGAACTTTCTGCTGAACCACATGCCATACTGGACATCATCAGAGCAGCCCCCCCAATGCCAGCCTTCACTTGCTGAGCCACCATTCTGCAAGGTGGTGTCGCAGGAACACTCTGTCATGTTGCCCGCACTACATGACCTGGTCACAGAGTGCACCAGGCCTGCAGCCATCACAGCGTAAATAAATGCTGTCTCTTTAGTGCCTACAATAAAACATAAATCAATAAATCAGACAGGAAGTTCTCTTGCTGTTTAGGTTCAGAACAAAGCCTACTACTTCATCCTTCCCTGACAAACAATTTTTCAACTGTTTTCGATAGATGCTTTAATGAGTACATACTTAGAGAGGAGAATTTTCTATGGTGTTTGCCTTTAAAAAACATTAAAAGATTAATTTTCAATATCCCACTGGAGATTTTCATATATTGTAATGTCACACACTGTCCTAGTATCTTAAAAATCACATTTATTTTTAAAGTTTGAAATGTACATCGGCACCTAACTTTGTGTTTGTTAATAGAAATAGCTCCATAATGAATGAATTAAAAATTCTTTGCATGGGTACTAAAAGTGATAATAAAACATTCAAAGGAAAGTAAATTATTTATCTTTTTAAATTTAAAATATGCTGTAGTTGCAAAATACAAGGTGAAAAATTCGGTGTGATTTTTGTTTGAATAAAAAATACATCTCATAATGCAAATTAAATTAAGTGAAGACCAAGGCAATTAGTAGATAAGTGTTACAGTTTACTTTGACATTAAAGACTAGACTTCTATTTTAAAAGAGACATCATGAATAACAATCACTGTTATCAACGTAAAAGAGTTAATATTTTATATAATATTAACTAATCCTCTTACAGTCTTAAAGGTAATGAAAGCAAGATAATTGGCATGTCACTAGCAAAAAAAAAAAAAAAGAATTGTTATAAAAAAAAACTATCCTTATTGAAATCGTTCTCTTCAGTGCTCCTGGAAGTAGTGTTTGGGCTAAATATAAAACTTTTGAAAGTTAAAGTTCCATTAAAACGTTAATAAAATGGATAAAAGGAACTCAGCAAGTAATTTTTTTTCTTTCCAGATATTTAGATTGGAATAGAAACAGTTTCACGCCCCTTGTCCAATAAAACTTTTCAGCAGCTAATGCTTCTGCATTTCAGCACCTTCTCTTTTTTTCTTTCTTTTGCATCCTTTTCATTCTTTTTTTTCTCCTCTCCGGGGTCAGGGCTTCTATGGAAGGGTACCTGGACTAAAACGCGGAGGTGGAAAGGAGACGCTTTGGCGGCAGTGAGCTTAGGTTCCGAGTGGGAAAGGGTCAAAGTGAGAGGGAGAACGGAAATGAACTTGAACGAGATCGCTTCTTTGAGCGCCCCAGTTCCAAAGTTCTTTGACTCTGCTGATATTTCTGGCAGCATCCTGGCTCCTTGAACCATTATCCTCACTAAGGCACGATTCATGTAGAAAGTTAGAACTTTGTTTTACTGCACCTTCCCGCGCCGCGGGCAGTACGCAGAGGGAGGGCGAGGTGGAAAGGGCAGAAAACAAAGGAGACAGCTAAAGTCGCCCTGCCCAGGTTGGCTGCACAGGGGATGGTCGGGGACAGTTCCTTTAAAATTACCATTATTCCGTAAACCCGGTGCTTCGCTCCAACTAGCCACTTGTCCAGCGCTCGGTGCCGCCGAGCTGGATAAACCAGAGCAGATGCAGCGGCAGCTGGTCACTCACGTAGGGGGGCGCTACGGGATCCGGGGGGTCGGCGGGTGGGAGAGTCAAGTTTTCCCCCAACTTTGGCGGGGCGCCGCCGCAAGGAGGAAGAGCTGCAGCACCGAGCGTCCGGCTCTGGACCTGGGGAATCGCCCCCTCCAAGAAGCGCACCTGCACCCCAGGTCTGGCCTCTGTCGCTCCCAAATTCCTAAACTAAAAGGTCTCTTTCTGGATATTAGAGCTAGGGGACCACGCAAGCACCATCTATTGGCAGAAGAGCTGTCGCCTCTGTGTCCCTGAAACCCTCAGTGTCCCGGGACTCACCGCTGTTTAGCTCGTAGCCAAAGAGGGGGCTGGTGCCGAAAGGGCCTGCGGTAGCTGTGACGGTGGCGGTGGCGGTGGCGACCATGCAGTTCCATCTTTCGTATCTGAACTGACTCCTGCACTCCTGGATGCCCAGCCGCGCGCCCTCGCGGATGCTGGGCAGCAGGTACGGTTTCCTCTTGCACAGCTCCTTCTGGCGGCTGTTCAGTGGCAAGTTGGCGCAGCCCAGCTTCTCCGGAACCCCGAAGGAGGCGATGCCCAACCACCTGTAAGGCACAGCCGCCCCTAGCGTTAGCCGCTCCCCTGCTCTCCTCCCCAATCCCAGATGTTTTTCCCCAACATTAGGCCACCCTGCTTCAACTAGGAGCTGCCTTAGGGCTCCTCACCCCCTTTGCCAAATACCCCATGTGCCTCTGCAGCCCCCATACTCACATCCAGTTTCCTTGGGCTCCGCAGGGGAACAACGCGAGCAGGGCTGCCCACAGCGCGCACAGGCGGGGCAGTGCCAGGAGACTCGCCCTATCCATGGCCCCCGCATGGAGTCCCCCAGCCCCGGCCACTCCTCTTCTGCCTTCCCTCCCCAGAGGCCTGTAGGGCCGGTGGTCAGTTCCCCAGAACCAAGTTGTCTCTCTTCTTTCTCTTTGTAGATAACATGAAAAGACCAGCAATGGTAAGGGTCCTCAGCAGCTCTCCCCCCTCCACCCCCCAGCAGTAGGAGGAGGCGGAGGAAGTAGTTTGGGGCCCTCCTCCTGCTCAGAGTTGTGGATGTGCAGATGCTGGAGCGTCCCTCGCATTCCAAGGTGAGAAACTTCTGTTGATGTCTCTGCGTCTCCATCGCCCCGGGCTTCTCCTTGCATCTCCTCCCCCTGACCGCGTCTGGCGCCTGATTGGCCCAGCGACAGACCCGTATCTCATCATCCCGAAACCTCAGGCTCCCATTGGCTGAGAACAAGCTCTGCTGGGGGGCGACCGGCCTGCATCTCCCGGACCTTCTGACCAGTCCTGGGGGTATCATGACCTTTCCTCCTGTCACAGTCTCTTTAGAGCAACCCTGGGTGAAAGCATGGGTTTAATGGGAGACATTTGAGTTTCACCCATCCCCAGGGCATCTGGAATACCTATGAGTGGAGTGCCTGGAAAATCTTTGTCCCCTCCTCTCCTCTTTCTTTTCTCTCCTTCACCTCCCAGTTTCTGTGGGTCAAAGTTGGTACCAAACAAACTGACTTTCCAAATCTATTCTCGAGGTACCACGTGTCAGAACAGCAACAACAAACCATATTAAATAAGTAGTGTATGCCCAATCTGGTGGGAATTTATAGAGAAGATCCCTTCCTCAAGTGTACAAACCAGCCATGCAGACATTACACACATTTTGTTTAAAACAAAATAAGTTGAAATTATCAGTAATTGAGAAAGGGGAAGCTTATTAGGGTATTAGTTGGGGCCAAAGGTACTTCAGAAGCAGGAAATGTTTTGACAGCTGATCATTTTGAAAGGTGAGTTAGCCAGTATTTTGTAGGATGGATGTCTTGGAAGGCACTTGGAACATTCATAGCTGCAGTATAAGAAAACCCTGCTTCACCTACTTACACACAAGAAATGTTTCTAAAAAGCAACACCATCTTCTTGAAGGACTTTTGCAGTATTAGTAAACTCCGAACGTGCACAGATCGATTCAGTGGCTGCCCAAGACCAAACTTTCTCACATAAAGGCTTCGATAACTTTTGTTTCTTTCCCCAATATCAGCCTAAAAAAATAAAAGTTCACTGAAATTTCCATTCTGTCCCAATCACTCCTCTGTCCAACAAATATTTATTGTGTGTACACTATGTACCAGGTCTGAAAGCCACATTGTAATTTTTAGAGAGTCAAGTTGATGATAGGGTATAGTTACTGATCCAGAAATATTTTGGCTAATGGTTAGTGGCCTCTCTGAAAATCAAAGCTTTCATCCAAGCTCACTTTAGTCTGTGAGCTTCTCCAAGGGAGACCATGGCACATTCATTGCTATATCCCTTCCATTGGGTCCAGGACATGAGATTCTGTTTTGCAGCACAGGTTATTGAGTGGATTTACACGATGAGGAGCATCCCAAGCAGATACCTAAGTGGCCTCAATGCTGGAACTGGAGAGGTTTCTTCTTTGTCAGGGGAATTGGAGGGATATAATCTTGGAATTGAGGGGAGGCTGTGGAGAACATCAATGCTTTAAGCTGATTTTAGGGCAAACAGTGGTAAATGTTTTAGAGGTTTTTCACGTTTTTTTCACTCAAAAGCACATATTGAGGACTAGGGATGTAGCTCAGTGGTTAAGTGTTAGCCCAACATGTACGAAACCTTAGGTTTGACCCCCCCAGTACCACAAAATAAAATACATATTAAGACTGTTATTAGTGGAAAGTAAGATCAACACTGAATGACATGACTGTAGAATCCATAATCTATTTAGCAAGATAGGCAAGTGAGCTGGCAATTACAGTACAGCACAATAAATGTGGGAAGTATAGGTGCCGTGAGCACACACAGGAAGATAATCCAGTATAGGGGGACCAGAGGGAAGAGATCTCTACATGATTCTTATTATTCTAGGGGTCCAGCACAGTAAAGGCATCCAGCTAAAGCCTTTGGAGGAACTTCAGAGCACACTAGTCTTAGAGTCTAAGACCGCTGGGTCTAGATTTTTCAAATCCAAGACATAATTTCAGGGTCTTAGTTGTTTTACATCTCTTTTAATATGATCTAGGGCCTGAGGGGTCATTCTTTCCATACTTCTATGGCAAAGCACACATATTTCCAGGAGCTGATCCAACTGAGGAAATAGTTGTTCAATGAACAGACATGTGTGTACCATTTTGTGCCAGGTGTGGTGACCTTTCATAAACTGAGAGTCTTGTAGGTATGCCCCAGATTCTCACTGTCTTTCCCTATCTTTCTCCATCTCTCTCCACATACAAAATTCTGCTCCCCCAACAATTAATGTTAATTTCGTACATGGGGGGAAATAACTTGGGGGCTTAGGAAGTTTACGCAAGGTCACTTAGCTAGCAAGTGGTAGAGTTAGTAATAAACTTGTCTTAGTGGCCCTGTTCTGTCCACCACAAGGTACTGCTGCATATATGAATTGAAAGCCACCATTTTTAGAACAGATTCTGCCTGGAAGCAGGGAGCAGGGGAGGTGGCACAAAAAATGTATACACAAGTAAGTAAATGTAAAAATGAAAGAATAAAAGGAGAAAAGAAAAAAAATCATACAACATAAATGCTTTTCCAGGTTAAATTGTATCAAAGATATGGAATGGTTAGTTTTATATGAAATCTTCCAGCAGCAAAACTGCCAAAACTAGTCTTAAAAGAGCTCTGTCTAGTTTGGAGAAGTTACTTGTTAATGTTTCTTTAACTTCTCAGTTATTCCTGGTTTTTTTTTTAAGGGTTTTAAACACATGTATTTCTGTAATATTTGATGCTGAAAAATAATCTACTAGGACTGTTTGACAATACATACAACTTTGTTTTAAGGGATGCTGGGGGAAAATTGGAACTTCCAATTTTAAATTGGAAGTTTTTAGAAGAATTAAAAGAATTTAGATTTAAATTCTAAATCTAAATGTTTAGAATTTATAATTTTTCTAAGTATTGATGATTTAAATGAAAAAATAAAAAAGAACAAAGCTTGCTATATGGAGATTCCTGTACACCTATGTTTATGGCTGTACTATTCACAGTAATCAAGGTATGACATCAGCCTAGGTGCCCATCAACAGATGAACTGATAGAGAAAATGTGGTACATATACACAATGAAGTATTATTCAGACATAAAAAATAATGAAATTATTTCATTTGCAGGAAAATAGATTGAACTGGAGATCATAATTATGTTCAGAAAATATGCCAGTCTCACAAAGACATGTATCACAAGTTTTCTCTGATATGTGGAATATAGAGGGGGGAAGGACATGAAAATAAAAGGGGGACTATTAGGGATACGGAAGGGGAAACTGGGAGGGATGACAGGGATATGAAATGAAACCTCTTAAAACTATTCCAGGAATGGGGGAGGGGGAATAAAGGAGAATGATAGAGGAAGTGAATTCAACTATGATACATTGTAAGAACTTTATAAATGTCACTATGAACCCCCAGCACAACAATAATAGAAAGAAAGAAGAAAGAGGAAGGGAGGGAAATAGAAGGGGTGAATATGATCCAAGTACATTGTGAAATCATGAAAATGTCATCATTAAACCCCTTTCTACAGTTAATAGGTGCTAATAAAATGTGGAAAACATATTAAAAAAAAAAAAAGAAAGCCATCATTTATTTTTTTCTGACCAAATCCCAGATCCCTAGGCCTTGGAGTCTAAATTTTTCATTTGTGTACCATGGTATCACAGCTCACAGCAATCTCTATTGAAAGAGTTGTCCTTTTTCTGAGTTAAAGCCCACAACAGGGAGGTTTCCTGAGGAGCTGAGAGTCCTTCCTCTTTGAGGCAGGGGCAGTTTTTCAGGATGTACTTGTTTTTCCCTTTTTGCTGCCTGGAAGTGTTGTGGGCTGTGAGGAACCATGGAGAGTCCCTGGCTGAATTGGGTGCTTGGAGTTCTAGTCAGTAGGTGATAATCTTGGGCAAATCATGTCACCTTGGAGCCTGGGTTCTCTCATCTGTAAAATTACCAAAAGCTGTCTTTCAGATTGGACTCTCCAACTGGAGTTCTTTCTCCCAGCAGCAAAGGAAACCTTAGTCATCGATGGGCTGTCTCCCTAAGAGATGGGTCCACCCTCTGAGGGGCACAAACTTGAGTTTTTTGGCCTCCATCTTGAATCTTTAACTCCATGTTTGCTTCTGAATTTCACTGAAAGTGCATTATTTTAATTGCAGAAATCTTTTTAAATGGTCAAATTATAACATTTTAATCATATGAAAGTTTATTTGTAGAAAGAAAGAAGTTGCAGACATTTTTATTCCTTTTGGCATGTGAAAACTAGTGACCCATAATCTAGGTTACACTTGGTACCATATGGTGGTTCAGCTTTACTTTTCTTAGTGGGCATTGTACTCTGTGTTTAGACTTGAAGAATATGGAAAAACATGGCTTAAATTTAAACTTACACACATATACAGATTTTTTAATTATTTAATTATTTATCTATAAGCAGTAACTTAATTTCTATTTAATGTTTTTGGTTTTATAATCCAGAAAGCAGATAAAACATTAGCAAACCAGTAGAATATGCTACCTTTAGGTACCTTTTTCTTTCTCTTTCTTTCTTTCTTTCTTTCTTTCTTTCTTCCTTCCTTCCTTCCTTCCTTCCTTCCTCCTCCCTCCCTTCCTTCCTTCCTCCCTCCCTTCCTTTCTCCTTTCCTTCCTTCTCTTTCTCTCCTTTTTTTTGTGGTACTGGAATTTGAACTCAGGCCCTCGAACTTGCTAGGCAGGTGTTCCACCACTTGACCCACACCTTCAGCCCTTTTTTGCTTTCTAGTTGTATTTTGAATAGGGTTTCATGCTTTTTGTCTAGGATTAACCTGGAATGTTTATCTTCCTACCTATGTCTCCTGGATATCTGGCA